TCAACAGCAGTGCTTGGGGAAGTGTTTGCACCAGATCTGGATGACTGGGACAATAAAACATTTCTCTCTGAAGGAAAACTGCTCAAGTGAGGCTTGTATTTATGTCAAAATGAGTTATATTGATATGCTTCTTTATTTTATTTACTATACATTTCTCTGTGTTGAGGGTATGCTTAAAGCCCAGATTGAGTATGGTATTTTATTTTATGAATGCTTTTTTTTTTTCTTGTTTGTTTTTGTTTTTTAACTTGGATAATAAGGTAGCAAGAAATTAATAACATGAAATACTTTTGTCTTTTTGGGTCATACCATGATTTGATTTTTAACCAGATCTCCTCATTAATTTATTTCACCATGTGCTTTCTGTAAGACTGAATTTAAAATTAGATTGTATTTTAAATGCGTGCCTCCAAATGTTGTTTAGTTGATTGAATACAAACAAATTTAAAAGGGAATCATTTCACCAAACGTGAAAGTGAGTTTGGTCTCCCTTGATGACTAAATTTACAATTGCGTGGGCAACCATAACTTTTAATTCGGTAGTTATTTCTGTTTAGAGCAATAATAAATTAGATCCTTCACTCCTACTAATACATTGTTTATCTATACCATAAGGTGAGATGGCATATAATGCATATACTGTTCTGAAATACAGGCTTTATAGAAAAAGAATATAAGCTTCTGTCTGTGTTGTGGAGAATAAGAATTTTAAAGCTTTATCAAGATCAAAATAAAAGACTGAGTTTCTGTCTGTCACCAGCCACAGGGTCTGTTTGCCATTTTAAGAGGCGACTGTTCTGTAGTGATGGTTAGGAGGTATTTCCAGAGATATTGATTACTGTCTTTTTGAATTGGTACATGCAAATGATACTGCATCTTTCATACAGATCTCTTTCTGTTTTAAATGGATAAAAGAGAATCTAGAGATATTTTATGTTTTTTTGTCACTTTCTGTTACTTATTGTATAGACTTGTGCATGATTACTACATGGAACCCCAAGGCTACGCTGACTCCTGCGGACCGCATGCTATTATTCAGGAATGGGAAGGTCTAGGGATTTGGAAGTTACAGAACAGACTAAGAGTCTAGAGTTTTTATAAACTCTCCTGACTACCCATGTCAAAACTAACATGGTTTTGTTCTTTTTCTGATATTTCCTGATTTTCCTTAATACTGGTCCTAGAATATTTGTAGTAGCCTATTAAATTATGTAAATGAATAGGGAGTACTGTCAGTTTTGATTTATTAAGGTTCTTTAATTGAATGCTCGTGTTTAGATCTTTCAGATTACATCAGAGGCGTGGTTCTCTGATAATGGTTGATAATGTTCCCCAAGGAACATACAACTTAAAAGTCAGAGTTTCTGATGGAGTTTGGCCTGATGTTATATCTACAATCCAAATCCATGTCCAAGAGTTGGAAAATGAAGTCATACAAAATTCAGCCACTGTACGCCTAGGAGGTTAGTTTTATTTGCCAGGTGAGAGTTAGTTGAGATACTTACATATTTAAATGGTTGTGGGTTTTTTTTTCATTTTTTCATTTTTTTTTCTTTAAGATATTGCTGGTGATTCTTTGATTTTATGTATATGCATATGTACTTTCTAGTATGTTTCCACATTGATCTCCAGTATTTCACGTTTACGTGTTTATGTATCTCAAACTCAGATATCACAGCAGAGGAATTCATAAGAAGGGACGAATATGGCAAAAACAGGCATGACAAGCTCAAGGAAATACTGGCAAAGGTATTTTCAGCTCAGCTTAGTGACATCACTGTCTTCAGTGTGCTGAACATTGATGGAAAACAGACAGACATAAGATTTACAATCACTGATGGCTCTGCATATTACAGATCAGAGAAACTGCATGCTGAGATGGCAGCATTTAAAAATGAGGTATGTGCCCTAGTGTTTTCATGTAAACTTGATATTTGGTGCCAAACACCAAACAGACATTGGTGGAAGAACGTGGTACGTCTGCTTTTCTACAGTCAGTGTCTCATTGTGAAGTTTGTCTTATTAGGACCACAAAACCAGAAGCATCTAGAAGCTAAAGTGTATTGTAATACAGAGAATGTCTTGAAAATGACAACTTTCAGACATTGGATACCCTTGTCCACCTTTGGTTAGATGTTTATGTTATAATAGAAGCTTGATGTCATCCAGATTGAAACTCCACTGCACAAATTGACTGCAGTCCTTGGGAAAGAATCCTTCTGGAAGGAATACACAGTTCAGAAGAGGAGATAGAGCAGATGAGCGAGCTGGAAACAACCAGTACAATGGGTGTGTTTGACAAAGTGTAGGTCAGTTCTAAATGATGTGACCTCCCACCTTTTTTCAATAATAAAATAATTTTAGTATGTGAATTGTTTTCAGATTCCTGTTGACCTGCCCGTCCTGATTGCTTAGCACCTCCTGCATGCCTTCTAGCTGTTACCAAGACTCAGTCTGTCTTGGCCACTCTCTTGTACCATTTTCTGTAGCCCTCCAGGTTGTGACTTCTGCTGAAGTCAGGCAGGGGCGGTGGTGAAGCAGGCACTGCTCCAAAGCTTCATGCCTTGCACAAAGTCCAGGTGCTGCTGCTCCAGGTCCCTGGACAGGACAGCACTTCCTGACTTTTAATTTGTGGCTGTAGGGGAATATTTGCATATAATACGTGGTACCTATTATAGTACATCTTCTTGAGAAAAGAGCAACGCTTTCTGTTTGTGTAAATATTGTAGTGTCTGCATGATTCTGGGAACCAAATGATATAACTTGCCACCTGCCCAACTGCTGTCAGACAGCAAAATACTTTTCGTGTATATTAAATGGCTGTGTGGATTATTAGGAGTCTCAGGATGACCAAAGTTGGAAATATCAGAGGCAGATACTATTCATGGAGCATAACTGCAGCTTCTTATGCATATTTATAGATCTACTATAATAATAATAATAATAATACAGAAAATTGCATAGATTTCAAATATTCTGTGCCATAAAATATGACTGGTGAATTCATCAAACTGGTAACAAGGGGCTTGATTCGCATATTTTAATGGAAAAAATGTTTATATTAATTATATATCACCTTTCAGTATTTAATGAATAGCTCTGGTGAATAATCACCAACAGTCTATAGAAACCAATCATAGCCAGAGCTTTTTTTCAGTATTTGTTGTGTATGTGTTTAAATATAGAAAATAAGCAATTAGCACTGGAATTATTCATTGAATAACTAAATAAATAAGATACTGTTATTAACCTGCTTGTTGTATGCTTTTACCACAACCATTTTCTATTAGCAGCAGAAGTAATCCATCCTTTGCTATAAAGGAGACAAGAGTGTTTATATACTCTATATTTTTTTCTGTTACAGTACTACATAGCTGTCTAAATGTGCAATATAGACTCCCTACTAATGGTTATAGATGTGGACATTAGACCCCAAACTGCATTGGTGGGATACATCATGTCATTGTATAGGGTGTTTTTTTAATTCCTTTGGGAGTTTGTTTTTCAAAACTGTGTTACGATATTTGAGGACATCTTCAAAACTGGTTATAAAGGTCAAAGTTCTTAGAGCGGTGGACTAAATTGAAAATACCAGGGAAGGGAAGGAAAAAAAAAGAAAAAGGCATTAGTATTTATGTATTTTGGTCTTTTCAAAACTTCTTGTTAAACTATTTGTCATATGTTTATATATATTACATATATATATGTCATATGTTTTTATATATATTTGTCATATGAGAGTCTAAGTCTGATCTCACATTGCTAGTTTTACATTGACATATCACTGTTGGCCATGATTTACTTTTGACCTGCATCACTGAGAGCAGTGAGCTCTTGTTTTGAGATTGGGGCACTGAATACAGCTTTGAGTGTGTTTGAACCTTCAAATTATTGGAGAAGTTATGAAGTAATATTTAGATGCGACTGATGAAGAAGTATTTTTATCCTGGTTTGAGCCAAGTATTCTCTTTGCTATCAAATAGTGTGGAGAATTGCGATGTTGACCACACAGTTCACAAGGCTGCAATAAAACTGCTGCCAGAGCTTAGTAGGCCAGTACAGATTTAACATGTTCAATCACGCTGATGATGAAGTTTTAGGAAATATTGCTGCTGACAATTTTTTAAAAATAATTCTGAACTTGTTAAGTCATTGTGCTTGCACATTGCTTGTCAGGGATGCTACTGACTACTATTCAAGAAGCTAAAGCATTCCATTAAGTTTATGATGACTTAGTAAATAGAAGCAGTCTTTAGGAAAAGATTGGTGATTTTCTTCAACCCTATTTTCTCCTAGATCCAGTCAGCTTTACAAGTGAGCATTTTGGAGATCGATGTAGACGAATGTAGGAGGGCGAACTGTAGCAACGGCAACGATTGTACAAACCACTTGACAGTGAGTGACATGCCAACAGTGACGGATACTGGCAGCGTGTCATTTGTCTCTGTAACAACGACCGTCGATGCAGTCTGCAGCTGTCCAGCCAGGGACCGAATTCATCAGTCTTGTGCCTCCTACCCTCGAAGCCCTTGTCTCAATGGTGGGAGGTGTATTGACACTCTGAATGGTTACAGGTGAGGGAGCTTGTATTGCAGTTTCCCTTATTTTATCTTCTTTTTGCTTGAAAATGTCAAGCATAGCTAACGTGATTCCGGTCTAGAAAAGATCAGTAGTACACTCCTGACTGAAGGAGAAGCAAAAAATCCCAAGGTGTGCTGGAGCATAAACTTAATGGCAGCAATGTCAAGGGCCAATGACAGTGCTGTAGTCCTGAAGCCACTAGGGAGAGTGCATGAGTGCGAACTCAAACCTGGGAATCCACATTAAAATATCTAACGTCTCAGAAATAATTTTTGAAGGAAACAGTATGGTGGGTAAATATGCTTTATACTTATAAAGATATTTTAATAATTAGTACATCCTTGTATACATGAAGCACAGCTAAAATCTGTATTTTTTCGCTGCTGTTTTTAGTGTGATTTAAGTACTAGTTTTGTTGTAAGTAAAGCCAAAGAAAAATTGATTATGAAACAATCTTGATTTTTTTTTTTGTGTGTGTGTTTGCTCGCTTTCAAGATGTGTTTGTCCTGCTTTATTTCATGGACCAGACTGCCAGCAGACGAAGCACAGTTTCCATGGGAATGGCTATGCATGGTTTCCACCCATCAGGCCTTGTTTTGAGAGCTACCTCTCTCTTGAGTTTATTACTGCGGCTCCAGATGGACTTCTGCTATATAGTGGTCCCTTATCAAATCCGGAACCTGGAAGTACAGAAAACTTCATTGCAATAGGTACTTCTGCAAAAGCATGTGAGAAAATTAAAAGTCTCTTGGGAAGGGGTATCATGTGAACAGTCTAGCAGTTAAAGTGTGAATTTCATTTCTATTCTATGAGATGTTTTTTTAAAGAGAACTTATTTTCTGGGTTGAAAATGTTGGAAAATATTTCGAAACATTCTCTAACAGGTTATTTTGCTTTGATGTATTCTTATAGCCTGGGTTAAGTCCATCAAAGAGCAGTAGAAATCAAGGTGAAAACAAAGCAGCCAAATTTATATATAGGAAAAAAAAATCCCACTAGGAGAAGTCTAGCGCTATAAAGGAATTGAGGTACTGTGAAGATGAGTATTACATGATTAATGCAGTCTTAGTCATATGTCATTCTTATCTAGTTTGATGAGCAAAGAAATCCACTTAACCTGCTTTCAGTCTTAGAGTATTTTTGCACTTTTCTTTTTAAATGGGCAATGATTTGATTTATGAATCCAGTCCCAATGCACCAATATAAGAAAATTTATACACAAGTAGAATTCATTGCTTTAAGTTGATGCATATTTAAAAGACTTGCTAACTGCTGCATATTTTTTGTGAGTTACCATACAAAATGCATGGTATAATTGGTATTTTATATTTTTCTAATTATTTTAAGCATTATATTGTTGGATATTGTTAATTTCATTTTTGCTTTGTTTTGCAGTTGCTTGTTAATGCAGGTAGAGGTTGGGAGGGTGTAAAAAACTGTATGTATTAGTTTTAGTTTAAAGCATTTCGAAGGTACAGATTGTTTATCAGGTATTAGCTTCAGTGCTTTACTCTTGACAATGAAGTGGCGCAAGCTAAGTATAAAAATCAATACTATATTGCACATGTATTCTTGTATAACAGAGACCATAGAATATAATTCCATATTTCTATACATAACACTGCTTTGTGTGATTAGCAGTAAGCATTAAATCAGTACATTCACTAGCTATGCTAAAATACCTGAAAAGAAAAGATATTTGTAGGTGGGTTTAATTTATTTTTCTTGTTTTATTAGAGCTATCCAGTGGTATTCCCATGTTGAAGATGAGCCTTGGCTCAGGTTCAGTGATGCTGCAGTTACCAAGTCACCTGAATGTAATGGACAAAAAATGGCATCACCTAGAAGTCAGAACCAGTGGTCAGGTCAGTTCTTTCATTTTTCCTTATCAGAATAATGATACTCACAGCACTTGCCCCTGCAGAAACCAAAGGGTAAAAAAAATTGAGCGTGGGTGGTTATATACATTTGTCCAGCTGTGTTGCTTAGACTTAATGAATAGTGCAAATTTTGAGGAGATTGCACTGTCCACTCTAAATTCACCTATGTTATAATCTCTTAAATTTTGGAATCGGGGTTTTTTAGTTTGTTCTGGGATTTATATGTGCTCTGCAGCATGTATGGAAGGTGCATACAGAGTTAGTTATAATTTGCACACTGAGTATGTACATTCGAACACTGAAAACCTGTGCACAAAAAGCAGAGAATTATTTATTTGCATGTACAGTTACCTGTTTAGTGAATGTGGTCCAAATACTTAGAAATACAAAGGACATACTGAGCTAGGTGTCTTTTTCTCTTTTGTTAAATGAGTCTGTTTTGGCTTTGCTGCTTGTTGTAAGGTGGAAAATGCAGCAGAATTCTTGTGTGTGTGTGTAAAAAGAAAAAAGATGGTGTCCTACTTAAGAAGTCCTATTAAGAAAACCTACTTTTGAATTATACCGAAATTCTTAGTTCGGTAAACATGTGCTTTATCCTATGGCATAGGATATTCGATTCACTTTGGATCACTGCGGTGCGGCTGTTGTTTCGGAAAGAGAAGGAGTAGGGAAATGGCTCTCTGCTGAGGATCGTACCAGCTGTGAAGTCCTTGGGTCTGTTCCACGAGGAGCAAGGTGACAGCATGTTTCTAGGGGTTCACTGAAAAAATAGTTTAGTCTAAAGCTTTTGAATGTTATCAAATCGAAGCACATTTCTTAAAGGCTAGGAGTATTGATTTTTCTCTTTTCTGAGCGAAGACCTGACTTTGAAGTACTACAATTTTTAAGAAATCACTCTTCCTCCAAGTAGTGTTGTGAGATAGTGACAACTGCAGAGCACTGTGTGGCTAATAGTGGAGCTCTTGTGGGTAAGATCTACCACACCTTATCCACAGGACTTCTCTCTAAATGACTATAAACCTGCTTTTGAAAATCTCTGAAAATTAGGCCAATTGACTTTCTAAGGGCTGTAACTCTGGATGCTCCAGTTCTTACTGTCTTATGCCTATAAATCTGAGTGCTCCTACAGACATACTGTGGCAAATGTGTTAAGACAGACTAAGGTAACTGTCTCCATTTGGAAAATCACAAAACAAGCGTACAGTAGCTGGTGTGTGTGTGTGTGTAACATGATATTTTTTGGCAAAGGTAGGAGGGGAGGGTGCCAGCTCAGCAGATCTCTGAATGGGAGCAGTCGTAATGATGCTTGGGAAATTGGCTGAGCTTTAATGGATCAATGTGCCCGATTACCATGTTAGCAACCACAAAGTAAGTCCTGATAATCTGCTATCCACCCAAAATGTCTGTGTCAAGGTATAAGATTGTCGGAATGACTTTATTCCAGAATAGTCTCAGAAGTATGGGATTCTGAAAAGAAAGCAAGGTATTCTAGAAAAAAAAGAGTTAGGGTATAGCTGGCCTAGCTTTTCATGTCTTCATTGTAAGTGTCTGTGTCTGAGGCAGTAGGACTAGCCTCTCTTTATAGATTAGGATGCAGTTCTAAGGAGTGATTCATGCAACTTGCTTTAGAAGTCTACTTCAGGGTAAGAGAAACTACTCTGTAGACTCCAGTGATTATAGTATATAGATCTCCATTCACTATAAAGTCAGCCTGGGGTTACTAGCTCATTTGTAGCTGTTAACATCCACACTCTATAAGTTCAGTCAGATAAATTCCACATAAATTGTCCTATTCCTAAGTTTATCTGCTGGTTTAATTAAAGCTCAGACACCAGAATAAGTCAAAGGCACTGTTATTCCAAATAAAGGTGATGAAATCTCGCTCAGTCATGGGAGTTTGAGTATCACCTCTCATTCTGACATCAGTGACTGCTACTGAGTGCAGTGTTCAGGGAGATGGAGGAATGGGCAAGTTAAGTTGGGTTTAAAATGCTGACTGAGAGAGCGCAGTACTAACTTCAGATCCCACTGTGGAATTAATCTCCCAAAGTGGAGAATAAAGTCACACCAAGTGGTGAGTAAATGAGGAATACTTTTTAGTGGGAGATTAGAAGAAAGGAATAGCAGAAGAAAGAGTTCCCTTTTTAAGCTGTGGGAATTCAGATATTACTGGGAGAGAGCTGCAATGGAGAAGGACATGGCAAGCTTGTCAACTTAATTATTCAGCGTATGCAATAAACTGCTTTCTGCAATTAATATTTTCCACTGGTGATGAAACCATCCACATTGTTTTACATGCAATTTCGACCCCAGTTCCTGAGACAGTAAGTATGACAAAAGTAGCTACAGCAGACTTCTGAGCACTCCAGATCCTCTAGACTGAACATCTTGCATATGTATTTGATTCTCACCTAACAAAGTCCCAGTAAGTGTGGTTGTTTGAATTGGGTTGATAACTCAGACAAAAAGAAACTGTGGTAACTAAAGCAAATGGAATTCTTTGGCTTAGAGAAATCACCAGAGGAATCGCAGTGCCTGAATGTGTGCACAGAGCGTGCTGAGCTGGCCCTCGGGTATCTGACTTGCAGCATGTGCAGAATACTCCTGGTTCTGTTATTCCTGCAGGATAAATGCACACACAGACAAATACTTGAAAATACAGTATCTAGAATATCACAGCTGCTCTTGACTTGAACACAGACTTGAGTTATAATCAAATAACCCACACTGTTAAATTGCTGATAGACTTCAAAGTGATATTTTTAAAAAAATAATTACCCTTAAACTGGTTCTGCTCAAAGACAGACCGTTTCAAGCTGGTAAGCAGATAGTGGGGTTTTTCGTTTTTGTCGTTGTTGTTTTTTTTTTTTTTTTCCCAGAAAGCCTCTGTTCTTTGGAAGTGCAGTCTAGATGTTATTTATGACTCATATTCTTCAATGTCTATATTTGAAGGTAAATTCTCAGTCATTATTATTATGCATCTCATTTTGAAAGGCATTTGAATGCGAACCATGTTCTTCAACTGGGTGGTGTAAAAGAATCGTTACCATATTCCTACCCACAGCTGCTGCACAAACACTTCAATGGTTGTTTGCGCAATTTCATCTTGGATACTCAGGTAAGAGAAGTTTTACATTAATAAACATTCCTATTAAGTTGTTAGGAAACTAGGCTTGATAGCACAAAGTGATGGGCACCGTACAGCCTCTGTTACTGTCTATGAATAGAGCTCTTAAGTCTGTATCATGGGATTCACATTTAACCTCCCCAGAGTGTTTTATAATCATTTTGCTTGGCAGCAGTACAAAATCATAGAAATTAAGATATTCACCACCTTTTGCAAAACAAAACACTGCAGCATTTGAATTGCACTTCCATGTCGGGCCTTGCCCTGGCTGGTGTCTGTTTTGCTTAAATGTTATGTCATCCTGTTTCTCTGGCTGGTAATAGCAACCAGTTTTTCAGTTTTGCTTTAATAATGTTCAAGCAGGTGAACATTTAGTAGCTCCGCACATAGTGGTTACAACATATTAATCCTATTCTGTGCCCGTGTATAAGAAACTTCTCCTGGATTTTTTTATTGTAATTAGAATATCTGCCTTAAAGTTGTTTCTCGCCTACAGAAAGATGTATTTATGAGCCAAAAACTATGCTTTTGTTTATACCTTAGCTCATGCATCTGTCGCCAAGCTTTTTTGCCCATTCAGGGAACTGCTGAATGGCAACTGTCTGGCTATTTACTTATGCCAGCTGTCTGCTAGGGCTTTTAGCTTTCATAGTCTTTTGAATTTATTCAAAGGCAAAAATATGGTGTTGATAGTTAATATTTGAAATCTAGACTTTAAATAAAATAATTTAAAATCCAAATGTCAAAAAGCAAAGTTAATGTCTTGAGACGTACAGATAGAGAACAAGCTCTTAAGCATTGTAGCTCTTCCTATTTAAGAATGAGGTGTGTCTTTTTTAAACGATGTCTTGTTGTCGTATGGTTTTTCTCTTGCAGGTGTACGACCTTCAGTCTCCTGCAGAGTCCCTGAACAGCTTTCCTGGCTGCACACTAACGGATGGGAGCTGTGAGGCCATGGGGTCATCTTCCTGTGGTGTTCATGGCAGGTGTCTTGGAGACTGGGGCTCATTTGCTTGTCACTGTTTGCCAGGTTACTATGGCTATCGATGTGATAAAGGTAAAGTCTGTTTTTCTGTTGCATTATTAATTGTTGGACTGGTGCATTATAAAATACAAAAAACTTTATTTCCTATTGCTGTCTGAAAGAGACTCTGTTGGCTTAAGAGGTCTGTGCTTTTGGTGCACTAGAATCATTCTTTGATGTCTCTTAAGAGCCTCAGGTTTTGAAAGTTGGCAAATGGTACTTAATTTTTTTTTTCATTTGCTCTCTTTTTCTGCCCTGTCGGAGCTGCTTTTTCCCTTCTGTCATCCTCTATGAGCATTCTAAGGAGGAATATCAGCAGGCTTAAGTCAGGAGGGAGATGACTTGTTTATGAAGAAAGATGAAGCAGGAGAGTGAGTGGGGGAGTTGTGGGAAGATGGAGAACCACACCTCCCAAAAGAGGAGAACTTGGGTGGTATCGGTCCATGCAATGCACTTAACTATTTCATTATGAAAATAAGGGAAATAGTAACACTTTCCTCTCCCTACAGAATGATTTTAAAAGTCTTTACCTTTTCTTTTTAGTTGCCAAAGAATACACATTTGGGCCAGGAAGTCATATCCGCTATCAGCTCCCTGTCAGCGTGCCCGCCCGTAGGACACGGGTAGAAGCCATGATTAGGACACGGCAGCCAGACAGTGTCATCATGAGCATGTCATCCCGAAACAAGGATGAATACATCACTTTACAGGTGAGCAAAAACATACTAGAAATAATTAGCATAAAACTAAATTAATCCCAGCCATTGCTTAATGAAACAAAATATAAGCCTGGCAGTTGAAAGTAAAACTAAAACCCTCATGCCAGGCACAAAATCCCTGGAATTAGAGTACTTTTATCCACACTTACGGATCCGATACTTCTTTTGTGACACCGATTGCACAGCAATGGAATCCCGTGGCTTCAAGGGAATTTATTGCCCATTACAGTTTGCCATATAGAGAGTGGTCTGTCTGCTCTGGTGTCCAGTTCAGCAATGGCTTATTCTATCTGGGTAGTTAAGACCCTGCTGAGATCAATGCCTGTAGCAGTTTTAGTGATGTAGGCTTCTGAAAATTACATCCTCCTCATCCTGACCCTTATGATTGTATGGATCACCTCTTGAAATAAGTTGGATTGAGCTGCCAAGTTAGGAGTGATCCTGATCCAGATCCTGAACCACTTGAATCTCATAAATTTATCCAAGAGATCTGTTGTGTAATTAGAAAAGCCAGATAAAATTGCTCACAAAGAGCTATGTGCTGTCACTGACTGGGTACACTGCTACCAGTATTTAGGCTGAGTAGCACTGCAGATATCTTTATAATATAGTGCAGCCATTTTTGTATGGGCAATGTAAATATACCCTCAATTTAAAGCAAAGTTTTATTTAATGTTGTTGATTATATACCAGTTTGGGTTCAAGTAATGTGTCAAGTCAATAGAAAATATTAGGTGGTGACTTTTTCTTTTCTTTCTTACTACCCTGTTAATTATCCACAAGGTGGTTCAGGGGTTCTTAATGGTCTCATATAATCTGGGTGATGGAGACTATTCTGTAAGCCTCCCCTTCTACAACATTGATAATGGTGAATGGCATCATATCAAACTGGAGAGAATTGAAAATGAATTTACCCTTCGCCTTTATGAAGGAGGTGGGAAGAGAGAAATTCTGAGAGCAAGAGGAGTGTACAAAGAGATTGTGATTGACCCCAGCAGCTTGGTCCTTGGAAACACCTATCTGTTCAGTCCAAATCAGAGCTTTCAAGGTGAGGAATTCTCGGTCTCACTGTTCAGAATGTAGTTCTGTTTAGGGAAATTCAGTCCTAGATTTGAGTTTTAGCAGTCTTTGTCCTCCTTTAAGTTATGCCATATCTTATGTCTGCTTCAAATCATTCTTGCTAAACGGAGTTTAAAGCAATTTCCTTTGTTTTTTGCCTCAGGATGCATGAAGGATGTCAGATTTAATAACTACAGGTTGCCTCTGGATACTCACATGAAGGAGCTGGTGTCAGTATTAAGTGCCCAAGGAGTGAAAGAAGGCTGTTCTTCAGAGGCTTGTAGGAATAACCCTTGTAACCAGGAATTTATTTGTATTGATTTGTGGATGATGCATGAATGCAGGTAATTTGTGGAACTAAAGCCGTAGAACCCAGCAGATTAAGATGAGGAAGGGTGGATGCATGCAAAGTGTACACCACGAAGGCTGCCACGGGCAAGCTTGTCTGCCAGTGAACTACAGTGAGACACGGAGCTGGCTGTCTCCAGAGTTACCCAGGAATTGGGGTTTCAGGCACTACCCTTAGCCCATGCAGATCAGCATATCTGCATGGATTTTGTAATGATTTTGACTCCATCTTAACTGAAAAGTGTCTAGCAGCAAATCTGTTTGTAAAAACTGAAAACTGGGAAAAGATGGTGCACTAGCTTCAGAGGAGGGCAGCGCTAGCCTGGCTGCCTGCCTGCTGCGGACCATGTGCTGTGCAATATACATGTACTTTCTTTGCTAGTATTTGCCTTAGACTGTCTTAAGCTGTGACCTCTGTTCCCTTACAGGCCACTCGAGTTGAATTATAAGTACTGCATCGTTAAGCTGAGAGTTCTTGTGTGCGTGGCTGGGCTGAGGTCAGGACAACACACCAGTTATAATCCAAGCCAGCTGTGCTTAGTGATCCTTCACTAAGGGTGAAGACACCCTTATAGCACTACTAGCTGGCACTGTCCACACGCAGAGAATTTTCTAGAGATGATTTTTTTTTTCTAAATGCTGTAAATGTGACTGAGTAGCTGGAAATTGACTCTGATGGAAACATAAAGAACATAGCATAGCTTCTCCCTCCCAGGCAGAACTGCAGATCATGACCTTAATCCAGCTATTTTTCGTACAGGTAATCTTGCAAAGCCAGTGGAACCAGTTTAATTTTGAAAGCTGGTGATGTAAGAGTTTTTACTTCTAGTAGATATTTCAGTAATTCTGTATAGTGAATGCCATCAAAAGCTGATTTAAAGTCTTAAATGCGGTCTATCATGCTTACTTTTCTGAAAAGTTTTTTTTCATTTTGCTTTTGCCTTTTTAGTTGCCCTCCAGGACACATGATGGTGGAGAACGCCACGGGCAGACGCTGTGTGTACACTGCGTGTGCTAAACGGCCCTGCAACTACGGCACCTGCGTCTCCCAGTCACCAACCACGTTCCGGTGCGACTGTCCCGACGGCTACGCCGGACGCAGCTGTGAGATCACGCTGGCCATCTTCCACAAAGACGCAGGCCTCAGCTTTAGCTCCATGTTTGCCATCTGCATTTGCTTTTTGGCACTGTTAGGTAGCTATGGCAACTACATCTTGTATTACCTTTGGTGAATTAATTTCTCCATCTTGTCCTGAATACTCATCGTGTCATCTTTCTGCTGAAAAATCCATTTCCTAATGGAAGCACAACTCTCCTTCACTTCTTTGCCATGCTCTCTGCTTCATCAGCTCATTTCTCATCCCCATTTGCAGATACTGCTAAGTGAATCAACATTCATCAACTGTGGAAACTCTTTGCAGTCATCTTTTTCTCTGTGTTTTCACTTCATTGCTAAGAAATTGTCCACATGCATAACTGGAAGCAAATTCAATTGAGTAGGAAGAAATCACTAGCAGTTAAGCATGGTTTAAAATAATACTGATGCTGAAACAGATTTTTCATTCTAGGAGAAATATACTGTGTAATAGGAATGTTGGAGTGGTCAAACAGATGCAGTCTCTTGCACCTCACTAATTTTGTCACAGCTCCTAATAGCTTCTTTTGGCTTGCATTACTTTCAGACTTGAGGAGAGTTGCTCTATGAGAAGGATCTCACAAGTGATAAAGAATCCCATCTTTTAATCCTGTTTAATCTCATAAAAGCTTACCTGAATAAGGACATAGATTTTTTTTTCCTTGGCTTTTACGGCATTTTATAAATCACTTCATATTTTGTAGTAAGACCATAGACTTTCTTGTTGTGGACTATCTTGAAACTACGGGTAACTGGAAAAAAAACACTGCTTTACCCAATTCTGCTATGTATTATATTTGCCATGCAAATATGAACAGCAAATAAGGTGGGAAGCTAACTGGTTTTGCAGCTTTTAGAATCAGTTATTTAAAATTGATAAGAGATTGTTACGTTAATAAACTTTTTTTTTCATTGTTTCGTAGTAGTTTTATGGTGAATTGACTGCGACTTGACTGAATAAAAAAAATACATTTTTATCTAATCATCCTGATTTCAGGTATAAGTTTAGAGTTAGAAATGGCTATTTTTAGCCATATGCTATGCACTGCTGAGAATCTTAATAAGTTACTGTGGTATTATCAAACAACTGCAGGTTTTATGAAGACAATTTTAAATAAAATTACTGTTCTTAAGACTTAAAAATGCCTTTATTCTTGCATAGCTTCCAGAGTGGTAATATAAAGGTATTAGTTCATGGAATTTTAACTATAAATGTGTAAGTTTACAGTAGATTAGGAAAAAAAGCTGCTTTTCTGACATCTGATGACACCTCCCACACTCGAATGGGCAACCATTTGGCACTTAAATCAATCCTGAGGCCACGTGGCATTGGTGTCGCGTGGATCTTCTCGCAACCTTCCTGTCAGGAGGAGACCTCAGTTCATATTTTTCAGTTAAAGATGGAGTGATACTTTGGAGCTTGCAATTCCCTAACACTGTGGACCAAAGACATGATATACTTCATAGAAATATTTTTAATGACAGTTGTGTTTTATAACTTTGGGCTGAGCAGAGAGTAGGATATGAGGTTACACTGCTGATATCTAGATGGAAGAGGCATGCTCTTTAGTGGGGTATTTCTGATTTTCAGTCTTGTTAATGGAGCAAGCTTTTGTCTCTGGAACTTCAGCTGTGCTGATACTTTGTACATTAACGTCAAAATCAGCTCGGTGGAAAAATGACTTTGCCAAATTGTTAGAACATTTGGGAAAATCCTTGTGTCGTGTTTTTGTAAATTTGGAGAAGAAAAAAAGACACATCTCAAAACTGAATTGATTTGGCTTGAAGAGTACTGCTCCACTGCCCAGTGCAAGGGAAACATCTCAGTAAAGGCAAGTTTTAGTTCCCAGCTCTTCTAGATACTGCTACACAGAACCGCACGCTGGTGTGTGGATGACCCAAGAGGTGTCTGTAGTTCACTGTAACGTTAGTCCGTCTGCCATGGTTCAAGGTCCTGCTATGAACTTTTCTGTGGAGTTGGTAGCGTTGGCATGGTATGCCACTTTCTGTATACATAATACTCTATTTCTGATATTGCTGAAGTCTTTAGATTAAGTATTATCTTAAACATTTAACATAAATGTTTAAATGCATGCTTAAGACAAAATATGTAGCTGCTTTTTCTAATGCCACATAAAAAGCAGTCGCTTTATTTTTTTGCTTATGTTGTCTTCATTTCTGTTATTTATGTAATTTCAGTTGTTACTTTCAACTCATTGTTATTTATGTGCTACGTTTTGTATACATTTTCTGTTGAAAAAGATCAAAGTCAATACAGTAAGTAGGTCTCTGAAAATTACTCGTGTCATTCAATTCTTCAGTAATTGTTACAATTAAAGGTACTCCCTAAAGGCCTTTTCTGCTGTCTTTGGTACCTGCTTGTAACTCCATTGATGTTTAATGGAAGTAGATGCTGAAATCAAGAGCATCTACAGGTACAGATGCATCTGCACTATAGCTGCAAATGATCCCATTAATTTGAGTTCTTGAGGATTTAGTTCTGTTTTCTTTATGGTTTAATGAAATTGCATCAGCTTAACTTTGCTGGCGTTTTCCTAGCTTATGTGACTGTGAGCGCAAATCAAACACTGGTTTTACTGAACACAAAACTGCAGCCTTACTAGTTCAGCCTGCAAATTGTACTGCAGCGCTTGTGGAGAAGAGCTGCTGTCTTAGCCGTACTGCAGTACTTTTGTGTAGACGTGACTTGTTTGTTTCTGAATGGTTTTGAGTTTTGCTCCTGTGTTCTGCTTAGTTCTGCTTAGTGCTGTGTTCTTGTGGGCTCGCTGGAAGAGTTGCAAAGGTCTGAATGGAGGAGTTTACCATGTACCTGCATGTCATGAGGAATTGGAAGACATCAGAGAGAATATCCTCAACTACAATGAGGAAGGCGGTGGGGAACAAGACCAAGTAAGACTCCTTCTTTTACATGACAATAATAAGTGGGCTCACCATGCTAATTAAAACACATGTTTCTTTATGTTGGTTATGATTGAAGACCTTAGCCTAATTCTACATTATCTTAACAAAAGGATCATGAGCACAGACAGACAGGAGAGCCTTGCTGTTGGAGTGTTGACTCGAAGGTATGACTCCAGGGATGAGAGACGGTCACTAAGGAGTTTCCGTGTCTGAAATAAATAGATAATTTGCCTCAGAAAATGGATGTCATTAAAAATATAGCAGATCAGTGCACTACTGGGTATTTACTTAGCATTGTTTGGTGCTTAGTTGCGTTAAAAGCAAACTTTGAAGCCTGAGGCAAAGATGGTTCTGGGTTTCTAGACTGCCAGCTGATGATGCCCTTAACCAGAAGGAATGTTGTATCGTCTTGGCGAGCAGCTAATAACAATGAAGAATGACTAACAGTGCCCAGTTCACTGAAGGGGTGATCCTTATTGGGATAAACTCCCACTTCAATTTGGTACCAGCCATGCTCATATAAATAGTTTAATAGTTTAATAAATAGGTAATAGTTTGTGCCTCTTTGGGGTCCCTAAGCTGCATGTACTCCGTAGGTCTCGTGTTGTCCATCGCAAATAGCCTCTGGAAGAAGGGAAATAAGCAGCTCTTGTGTGTTAGTCATGTCCCAAAATTGTCTGGTCCTGTCACTGACATGGCTTCTAGACTGTGGAGTTGTGGCCTTTTTAAACACTTCTCTGTCCCTGTCTGAAGTGCAGCAAAGGGCTCACCGAGAGCACGTGTTACCTTAGGAAAGGTGCGGAATGACAGCCCTGTCACTGCTGGCTGCTGCTCACATGAACAGTGTGAGCACTGCAAATAATTTTGGCTGTTATGAGTTCCTTTTTGCACAGCCTGTCAACATTTTTCTTTTCTCTGTCTATCAATACATCCAGGGATGCAACTGCTGGACTGCAGGAGGGACAGGGGCGCTGCAGGATAAAATTGTTCTTTTTTTCAGCTGTCATCAAGGGCTGATGTTCAGTTAATGCAATTAACATGTATGGTACTGGTAGCTTTACTGACTGACGTTGCATTTCAGAACTACAGAATAGTTATCAGATATTGTTAACTATTTCCTCACTAGGAGAAACAAGGGAAAAAACTTTTTTTTTTTTTAAATGGGAGAAACAATTTTGTATGATAAGTGGTTATTTGGCTTTTACAATTATTCCACTTCCACAGGAGGTAATTTTAGCAACTGTTCCACAGACAGATCAAATTATAACAGAAGCTGCAGTAGGTGTTTCGACTACTTGCAGAACTGTTTGTCTAAGCTGCTCTTTGAATCATGTTCTTATGTCTCCGTTGCTCTTTTCAGTATCAGTGTGTAATAACAATATTAATACCCCATTTTTTTAAATTCAGGTATTTCAGTCATCCCGATTTGGCTCTCGATTACAAAATTTAATTTATTTTCTGTTGAATCCAGTGGTTGCAGAGGTGTTCATCAGCCATTCTCACCTTGTGGGTGGTTCTTGACTTTCTTGTACTCTGTGTAGTGGCGGGGGGACCCAGCCAGTTCTTGGTCTGGTGTTCAGGCCAAACAGGCTGCCTCAGAATTTCCCTCTTTCCGTGCACTAGAATCTGAAAGTTTGGTACCTACAGCAAATACTAATCTAAGGTGAATGATTTCTCTCTCCAGGATGCGTACAACATGGCAGAGCTCCAGGTGTCTATCCAAACAAGTCCAGACTACTGCTTTTATAAGAAAGGGAAAACAGCAAAACTGAACAGCATCTTCAGTGATGTGGCCTGGGGTGTGGGTGTGCAGGAGCAGACCCAAACATCAGCAACTGCACGAGCTGCCCCTTTCATGAGTGGGGACTTGGGCTGGTTCCTGTTTGATGCTGTGAGAGGTGCAGACTGTGAGCCCCAGGCCTTACCCCAGGACTCTCTGCAGGTGTTTTGCACAGAAGGAGAGGGCTCGGGTGCCGGCAGTCTCAGCACTCTGAGTTCCTCTGGGCTGGACGAGGAGACCGTCTATGATGAGATCAAGCAGTGGGGACCAAAGTTTGAGAAGCTAAGGGAACTGTACTCACACACACATGCAGAAGATGTGTAGATTACCAGGTCTTCTGTGCTGGAAATAAGCATGAAAGCTACTACGATTTTAATTGTTACTTTTTTGTTAGTTTGAGAGTTAATCTGATTTCACAGTAAAACACTTCATACAAAAACACTTGGGGCATTTTGGATATTTGCTTTTTGGGATATAAACTAAGTGGAAAGAGTAAAAACCAGTGTGGACACACAATTCTTCACATAAAATGGTTGAGAAATAATGAAGGTCCCTGTCATACAACTAACAAAAGCTCAGCTTATGCCTAGAGGCAGTCTTCAACATGATGCTGGAAACATATGGTCAATCTATTTGGTCTATGCACTGCTTTCAGTGCTTTATAGGAGCGGTAGTGATTTTTGGAAGAAAAAAGCAATGTGTTTTCTGTGGAACTCGAGGCTGTTTTGTACAGTAAAAACTGAGCCTAAACTAAGGAGCAGCCTGAGACATGTAATTTGCATCTATAATCTGTTCCTCATGGTACTGCTTTGGTAAACCTTCCTACCTGGGATCATTCTAGTTTCCAAGAACTGGATTTGAGAAGCTGGATGTCACCTGGTTTAGCAGTACCCCCGACCAAGTCGAAAGGTGACCTCGCGAGGGGGGAGCTGGCCCTGGGTGTGCGGTGCATGTGCTGGAGAAGGACTGACCACTTCCCGTGAAAAGGAAAGCCAGGATGCCTTGGATGCTGTAACATCCTGCTGTCTCCAAGAGCTAATTTCACTCAACACTGTGACTTCTAAAACTAAAACAATCCTGTAATAAATGAAACCCTGCTAAAAGCTAGTAAAAGATGGTAATTTTCCCCAAAACTGTAAATTAACTACAAGAGTACACACATTCACTTTAGCAATATGATAGCACATAATAATACAACACTCAAGTGATTTTTGATAGAAAATCATGATCAGTTAGGGACAGAGAGGGAAGAAGAAACAGCAGTTATAGAGAGCTCAATGCTGTATTCGAAAGTGCTTAGTCCCTTTTTTTTGAGCATTTGCTGTCCAGATAGTATTTTGGACTTTTTTTTTTTTTTTTAAAACAAAACAATGTATTTGAAGCAGAAAAAAGTTTTTTTTTTTTAATCCAGTTGAAATCACTCCTATATACTGTCAAGTACAGTAAGAACTTGATTAAAGATATTCTGAGCTGTTTCTTTTTGATAAGTATATTCTACAGATTCTAAGATTTACACCTTTTTTAAGAACAAAGCATAAAATGATGTACTGTACAATGACATACTGTAAAACTAAGACACTACTATTACTTTGCTTATAGGTGCATCAGTAGCTGTTTTGGAAATATTAAACATTTTACTAAGGTCCGGCTTACATCTGTATAGGCTACATTAATTTGCTTATTTCCCAGATCAAATGTATGTGCAGTACCTTGTTCTCATGCGTATCTGATTAGTTGTGCCGCTTTTTGGAAAAGCTTGAGCACACAATCAGTGAATGGTTACCTGTTCCAGATAATGTATTTTTCATGTAGAAAAGATTAAAACAAAAATATGTGGGTGTTTTTTTAAAACATAGGCCTAGTGATTTTGAATTCATGGAGGCTATATAGTCTATGAGTTTATAATTTGACTAGTAATACTTATCTGCAGGGAACATAGGTTAGAATATCTTGTAATGTTCGCAAGATTCTGCATTTCCTGATCACAGCAGTCACAACTGAGCTAAGAAAAAATAATAAAAGTGTAAATAGATGCTATAGCCAGAAGCCCCACCTGCCCCTCCCCAAGGGTGGTGATGGTGTCTGTGTCCCTTACCTTCTCTCCATTGCTATGGCTGTGCTGTCCTCGGAGCTGGCTCTGATTCAGTCTGTAAGCTCCTTGGGGCAAGGACTGTCTTTAACTTGCTATGCGTATCTGCAGCACCTCATAAATAATAAATAAGCCTTCCACATATGGTGTGTCCTCTTTGTATACATTTTGAGTTGACTAAAGCTTGCACATTCTTGAATTATTTTTTCAAAGCTTTGATCAGGCAGTTCTGCAGACAGCACTTGGGCAGGCTGGCGAGATAGCTAAGGAGAGAAGCTGTTGCATCTAGGTGGGAGTTACTCCTGTTTCAAGGCAGTTTTGAAAACGGTAGGTAAATCAATCTGTCAGTTCAGTTCAGAAGCTTTTAGAAAAGTTCTTCTAGTAAGATGAGCTGAGCGGTACCAGACAGGAAGCAGATGCAAGGGGGGTTATGCTGGAACACCTGATGGGATAGTAGGAGGTGGGGGGTGATAGAGGAAGGCAGCTGAACAGTCTGTGTCTATGAACACATCTTTTGTCTTTCACTTTATATAAATTTGAATTCACCTTGTGATCTCAGTAAATGGTAACTCTGCATATGCCACTTCTAATCTCTCTTCACTCAACAATGGAAATAACTGGGTTCTATTTTCTTAATAATATGCTGATCTCCAAAGACAGCAAAATGTATCTGTCTTAGAACAAAGGTGGGAATTTGAACATGTGCTGGAATTCAACCTACGCAACTAAAGGTGTAATTAATAGATAGTATTTAATAGATAGTATTTGTCTCCTGCTTTGCTGGGATCTGTAGCTTTTCCAGCCGGTGATGCTCAGCGGTCACACACCCTTCCACAATCACTTTGTCCTCCCACCATGTCCACCACATCTGCTGTAGCTCATCCCCCTGCTACTCTTTCCACTCCGCTTCTCCAGAGGCAAATCCCGTTCCTGATTTTAGAGTGCTGTGCTCCACTGTTGCAAATTTAGTTAGCTTTTGTCTTGACCAGAACGAGTAAGACGCTTCAGGGGACGTGGGATAAAAAAAGCTTGGAAATAGTCAAAAGCAGAATTTGTACTGCAACCCAGTTCTTTTCAAATAGCAGCACACTGGATTCTTGCTATTTGGGGAAAAACACACATTCTTACTGCCCTGAACATACTCTCCTACGAGACTGCCGCAACTAAAGGGCAAGGATGACATCTATGGGGAAGTGACCTCTTACATCCTGCCTTCCCTCCTTACAAAATGTGCAAGATTTGCTCTTCGCACCGTGCGTGACTCCATGGGCTTTGTCTGCTGACCACCCTTCCTCAAAGACCAGCGTTTCTAGTCCCAGCATCAACTTCCAGCTCAACTAGGCCAAGCACTTAAAGCCAACCTCCAAAACCGTTGACAAAGTGAGAAACGAGGCACTCCGCAAAGTGACAGGGCGAGAGGCCTCAGAGCCTCCCAGGCCGCTACGTTCAGCAGAGCTCTCAGAACATGAATATTGACACTTCTACAAACTTGCCACAGGAGTGACTGGGTAGAAGGACTGAACGAATACCTCAAGACTTGCACTTACAGATTTATTTTGTATTACCCTGCCAGTGATACTTCAGCAACGGCAGAACCTACCGGGATTGGTACCTGGACGTAACAGACACGTTACCATTTCTGAATTTTCCCAGCAGAATGCTGCAGCTCCTGGGGCCTATAGTCCAGCATAGTCCTTCTCAGATGGCAGAGTTCGGTTTGCACAGGGTATGGTTATAGTTTTTACAATATACAGACAGCTGGTTTTTCTAAAGTGAAGGAAAATGATTACCTTACATTCAACAGAGTTAGGCAAGTGACTCACTGGGTGCAAACCATTCCCATACACGTAATTTGGAAGCTAACCTCAAGTTGCTGCTGTAGTACTACTTCCCTAATTAAAAATTACAACACTGATTCGCAAAGTCATAAATAACAATGAACTCAACAGGGCTGCTTGTCTTTGTACCTACAGTCAGACCTAGTTTTTATGGACTATGCAAGATAAAAGTTCAGAAAAACATTAAGTAATGTAAACACATGCTATAGGAATTTACCTTGTATAGATACAATTGCAGTACTTGCACATACTAATTTGCTGCTACAATGGCCTATTAAAACCCACCTTTTCTCTTTCTAGGGATTACTAATCAGTTCAATTTATCTTAGTGCCACTGGTCTAATTATTGTTGAAATCCTGACATCACATCTCTGCTTCTTCCACATTTACACACATGCAAACATCTTTACATAAAAAGCACATCACAGTGTGGCACTGACATTGCTCAAGAATGGGGACAGCTGGCCTGACAACCAAAAGCTTTGCAATGGGTAAGGGGGAAGTAAAATTTTAAATAATTATAATAAAAAAAAAATCTGTAGGTCCCTAGGTAGTTGGATTTTCAATAATCTGGTACTTTTACTAATCTCCTTCCAAGTTCTTTACAGACTTTAACATGTAGTAAGACCATTTTATTTAGTATAAAATATTTGTAAAGATCTGAAATTCAAATAATCTTGTGGATATTAGTATTTAATCTGTCTGTCAACTGTATTAATCTTTGTGTTTTTCTCCATTTAAAATAACATGCCACGTATAACGTAGTCAAGCCAGCGAAAGCTGCTTGTCCTTAAGTCTGACCTACTGGCTAGATCCAGCAGGTTTAGAAGAGAAACCTTGGCTGTAAAAGACGCAGGATTAGGAGATTAGGGGGAATTCAAGCAGTTCCTTAATTACAGAAGTGATGGAAAACATGGCCATTTCTTGGGGATTTAAATAAATAGCTTGCACTATGCTATTGATAATTCTTGACGGATGAGAAGGTTTTGAGACACTTGGGATCTCTGGCACACTGTATTCTACCAGCAGACCATCTTATGATTGCAAAGCATTAATTATATTAATAATCACATAAAACACCTGTGCGTGTTCCCAGTTGACATTGCTGACCCCTCCAAGAGTCTCCTAAGAGCAGCATTACACATGCAAAGCCATATTCAGGCACTGGAGAGGAAAAAGGCATCATGGAGAATGATACATACACATACATACACACACACACCTCTGTGCATCCCCATCCCACCCACTGAGGGAAAAACACACCTGTACCAGGGCAAATTCAAACCAGCCTCCTCCATGAGCACAAGGAAACCAGCAGTGAGGCCCTAAGGGTCAAAGCAAATTTCATTTACTTAAATTAGCATAATCCCCTGTTAAAGTCAAGCACCTGGCATGAATTACTCACAGTCACAACTGATACGTCTTTAACTTGTAATAATGAAAAAAATTCCAGCAACCTGTGAAAAACAAACATCATTGATAAAGTCAGTGATATATGCCAGGTAACAAGCTTGAAAAAACTCCAGATTTGTCTGAAAACTTTCTTTTCCTCCATATGAACTGATTGAAGGAATATTAGATTCCTTAACTGTTCCTTTCTCTATCCATCCCACCATAAAAAAAGAACGTGATTGCCCAGTGACACAAGTTTATTTAGTACATAATAGTCATTACATCTCTGTACAACAATGTAGTATAAAAGTTGTATGTTAAATTTCATCAGCAGAATATTGACAGAGAAATGAAAATAGAATAATGGAACTTGCTTTTTCTCTCCTCCAAAACATTCTGGCTACTTGATAACAAATTGCCTCTGCAATCTAAAGAAAGAAGTTCTTCACACCTACAATTGCACTGGTAACGCACAACTGAAAAGTCCTTGCAGACAATATATAACATATTGCAGAAATCACGATGGTGTCATTCCCACGGTTAGGTACTTGTCAGATTGCTCTAAGTGTTGTTCATGGGGGTGGCTTGTATTTAATGTGGTGAAACAGATACCACAACAACCACTTGGAAACAAAAATGCGTTGGGATGACATAGATCAAGAATAGCAGAAGTTACTTAAAAAAACCCCGCAGTTTTAATGCAACAAGCACGTACCAGACACATGAAGCAGAGAAAATAATTCTCAGACAAATAAAACACCACGTATCTCCTCACAGTCTCAAAGAGCTTCATCCCGAACCTGCAGGGACAGGAAACGCAGCCCTTTCACCTGGGCCCCACATCCCGGCACCGGGGCCAGGGCAGATCCCTCCTGCTGCTGCCAGGCCCGGGCTCAAGGGCATAAAAGCAGCTGGTGCCGGGGCTGTGTCCTGGAGTGCAGCGGTGAGGAGCCCCTTCCTCCTGCTGAGCTGGTGAGTGCTCTGCTCCGCGGGCTGCATTTTCTGTTCTAGGGAGATTGGCCTGCCAAGGGCTGGACTGATTAGTCACTAAATTAAATCTCTCCACTTCTTTAAATGAAAATTTTCAGATACTGGAATGGTTGAAATTGTTTAAAAGTGTCACAGACTATGGAGGGCTGTGCTGATCTGGGGGTATTTGAGTTCCAAGGAGGTACTCTGCTACTGTGCTAGTTCTAGATCGCAACAGCTATGTAATTAATGCTTCCTGAAAGGAAAAAAAAAAGCTATCTTGGGGTCTTCTTTGTTCACTCTGCAATTTCTACAAAAAGCTTAAATTTCTCTTTTCTCAATGATAGAGGTTCTGCTGAAGAAAAACATTTATTCTGTCTAAAAGTAACTGTTATGGTTGGGACTTTTTAGCTTCAGCTCTTACTTAGAAATAAGTTCTGTAAATCCTAGGCTATGACTGGATCTTGGAATCTTTTATTTCACTTAGAAGAAAGTTAATGCACCTTTACAGAAAAACACAGCCACACTTCAAAATAAGACGATACATCCTAGAAATACTTTACCTTACATGTGCTTGTTTTCAATTACTGTAAGGCACTCATTGAGGAAACCACTGACCCATGCTTTCAGCAAGAAAAGGCATACATCATTACGGGCCTAATTAAAGTTTTAATACTGATTAAAATGTTTTATTATTGTATTATGTTAAACTGCAGTGATCTCCAACCTCATTAAGGGATACAGGGTAGAAATCACTCAGGAGTTTCGGTTGCTCACTTTAACAATCCAGCTCCTGTCAATGTTTGATTTAAATTCAGTGTGATTAAAGCACACTTTCCTTTTGTGTTAGCAGGAAAGTGCAGGGAGATGTTGAATGTGGTTTAATGATTATTTACTCAATATAAAATTGCTTGAGCATGTGACATAACTGTCTCCCATCTCTTCTGTAATTTACCTAACTACAGCTGAAAAGGGAAAACATTTAAATCACTTGGAATGGGAACACAGCTCAGTTGTGAAAGTTAATCTCATTACACATCTTGATTAAATTAAATGTGGAGTTTGCTATCAGTAGTACTTTAAGTTTCTCATCATTAGAAATTAATTGCAGTGGTAATTATTGTAACTCAGTTATTTGCACAGGTCGCAAACAATCTAATAGGTGTTCAAATGTTAATTCAATGTTGGCCTAGAGGCACTTGATTACTACAAGTCTCTTTTTCATAAGAAACAATACATACCTAATTAAGGATGGAGAGTACTGTTAGGTTTTGTCCGACTTAATCTCTAATTTCAGTGTAAAACCAAAATAGCACTAAATTACAGTAAAAGTGAGATGCTTTCTACATAGCATTTAAAAAGTCAATAAAACTCACAAAGTTCTAGCCTGGAAAGTGATAGTGGCTAAAAACAAGTCACAGAGTTTTCAGAGACTGAGGTCTGCTTTCACTTCTTACAAGTCAAGTCAAAACACACTCCTGTAATCTACTCCTTAGTAGCAAGGACATCACAACAATCTTTAGTGTGCTAAAAATGTGCCTTTATATTACTTGAAATACTATAAAGGAAAGCTCTAGTACCTGAACATAATTTCAATACCTAGATTTCCTGCCAGTCTGAGATGAACCTTTCTGTTGTAAGGTTGGCAGTGTCCCATTTTGGTATCCTACTTCTGGAATACCTGTAGGGTGAAAGGGATCCCCTGTGGTTTGGAAAGCAAAACAAGTGTTGTGAGAATACAAGCAGAGTAATTTTGCTCTTTGTCCTGAGCACTGTAAGGATACAAACATGCAACATGTATTAAAAGCATGCTCCAACCTTAATTCTCATTAGAAATACGTAACACTCCATCACTAAATTTTTAACACTATAAAACAGCAAGTTTCTGTGTCACTGTCACTAAAAAATGCTGTACAATCATCAAAGTTTTATTCTTTAAACTTGTTTGCTGATTCTGCAAACACACTCATGTGCTTGGAAACTCCTGTCCACATACAGCCCCAACGAGTTAAAAAAAGAGGCACTGAAAAAGCATAAAGGTTTGTCAGAGGATCAAGGTAGTAAGACTAGATCCAATATTGTTATCACTTTAATGGTTCACAGAGATAATGCATATCTAGTAATTCAGCAGTGTGGCTTGCTTCCATTGAATTTCTATCACTTTTATAGTTAAAACAAACAAACAAAAATCTAAAACCCTGAGCAGAGCTTCACAGGTTAGCTATTCTGCAGTGGTCGTGCAGGCTGCTCACTTCATGTCTGTTTAGTTAAAAATGGAAAGAATGTAATATCCTAGGTATTCAGAGGTCAACCTTGATAATCAAAATGGTCCCTGCTAACATTTATTATGAATCTATGAAAATTTTGGCAATATCAGGAATGTACTATCAAAAGGAGGCAGTCCTTAAAAAAGTTATTACACAAGAAATCATTAATGTAAAATGTATTACAATGTTTGTAAACTTCATCTTCTAATGTGGGCTCTAGCACTGAAATACTGAACTTGAAGCCATTGCTGGAAATGCTATTTATGCTTAGCAAGTCTGTAAACGTGGAATGTTTTGTTCTGAAACACTCTAGTGAAGTGTACAGTATAAGAAGGCAGATTTCTTTTAATTTCCTCACAGAAGCGAGGATACAACGAAGGTTTCAGATCAGGTTCATTCTCTCCCAAACCATCCATGATCTGTAATTGAAGTGAACAGATTTGTGAAATATATTTAGCCAATTTACTGTTAAAAGCAATAACAATGAACCGAAAAGCAACCCTGGAAATACATTCAGAGGGTTAGACTGCTCAGATATGCTAACAGTGACCATGTGAAACAAGGAAAAAGTGTTAAATTCAGTATCATGGTCACAAATGGCTGGTGTGTCAGTGGCACTCCCTGCTCTCAGTTACGTTGTCTTCCATGGCTCCTTGTTAAATCTAGAAATGCTCGAAAACCCCCTCGACACAACCGCATAGCACAACTGTCTGCTCTCCTGAGGGAGCTGACGCTCCAAGATGATTCCCTCTCTAGAGGGGAACGCTACATGTGCATGGATAACCTGATGCTCAGCAGGGAGTGATGACATGTTTTCTCCAGGTTTAAGTGCTCCTTGTTCATTACCAAACACCATTAGAAGCAAGCAGGGCTCCTCCTGGCTGTTGTGAGCATGTTTAAGGGCTCCATTAAATTGACTTCCCACTGTCATAATGAGGTGGAAAAAGCCCAGCTTCAAACTGTAATTACAGTTCTTCCCCCAAAATACATTATTTTCTAAAACTTTTACAAAATACTTACATGACCATTAGCTATATCAAGCAGGTCACGTAACCGACAGCCTCTACTGTGTCTTCTCTCGTAACATATGCTGTCTTCTAGGATCACATAGTCTGTGCCAAACGATTGCAGTATCCTGTAAACATCTTCAGGAGATCTCTTTGCATAGATCTGATAAATCTAAAAAGGAAGGAATTAACTTATAAGAAAGTGAGTAATTATTGCTATGCATTCCTTTGTTTGCTTCTTCAATTATTCCTTTACCTGAACCAGAGAAAGAAATGACAGCTATAATCCACATGACTTAAGTATTTCCAAAACACATACATATATCTGATATATTCGGTAACAATCTAGAATATCTACATTAAAGCTATGATGCAAAATAGCATTCCAGTTGACTACAAACTCAAAAGGTAGTGAATTGTGCTTCTGTATGCAGAAAGCCTTTGATAGGCAGCCTCCAAAAGCTTTACAGTTATCTAACTTATTGGAAATGATAGCTTAAAACTCTCCAGCTCTGTATAAAGGCAACTTCTACATTGAATGTAATATGCTAGTTTGGGAGCTAAAGGCAAGTACTGGGCAAATCAAAGAAATGTTCCATATAGGCCAAAGAACCTGGCTGACCTCCTGTTTTGGCCAACAGCACCCAAACTTGTTCATCCAGAACTAGCTTTAGTATCGAGGCATGGTTAGTTATTCAGACACATACCAGCCACTGGAAGTCAGTTAGCAGATATCCAAAGTGCTATTGAGTTTCACAGATGAAATTAAATCCTGGGGCTGTATCCAAAAGTAACCTAGAGCAATAGGTCAAGTGTGAGATGTGATGAGTGTCACAGAGACGGCAGGTGTTTTGTGGAGCGGAGCCTGATAGGTCAAGTGTGAGATGTGATGAGTAATGTGTCACAGAGATGGCAGGTGTTTTGTGGAGTGGAGCCTGTGGCCAGGATGAGTATTAGCTGAAACAATCAAACATTCTTACCTGTTTTGTTCTCTCTCTCAGATTCTTATCTTCATAATGGGGATGATTAGTTAAGACCCGTCCAGTGCACAGTTTGACTCCTGCTAGTAGCTGCATGCTCCCAGCAAACACTGCTGTGCTTGGAGTGTTTGACCTAAACAAACGTTCACAAGTCTGAGAAGTCTCTCAGGGCATTTTGGCTTCAATTCTTACAGATCAGAAGGAGGGAAAAAAGACTGAAAAAAATTTTTTGCTTGTGAAATTTGCAAATGTTTGCACCTTTCCTATTTGTCCCCTCTTTCAATATGAAGCCTTAAATTCCAGAATTCTTTACTAAACATACTCTTACAAGGCACACATTTGTGAAGTGAACAAACTACAGTAAAAAATACATACTCATTAGACTATGATAGTCTACAATAGTTGTGACTGAGACATGCCAGGATGCATTTAGAAGCCTTTGAAACCTCAGCTAAAAATTCTAAAGACATTGAGAAACCAAACATTAAATTTTACTATTGCCTTCAGCAAGAAAATGCTTGGAAATGATTAATATTTACTACAAGCCCTTTCTAAACATTTTAGTACTAGTATATTAATCTCATCTAGAGGGTACAGAGATAGTATTTTTAATAAATCAGTTTTACTGAAATACTAGTTTTTTCTGCAGTTCACAAAACAAACATTTTAGTACTAGTATATTAATCTAATCTAGAGGGGACAGAGATAGTCTTTTTAATACACTAGTTTTACTGAAATACTAGTGTTTTTTTTCAGCAGTTCACAAAATCAGTTTCTTTTTAAATTCTGAAAATGTAACTTCTAATGTTTCTTTTTTACTTAAACCATTCAAAGCCATCAGTGTCATGAAATAAGGGTTTCATCAAAAGAAATCAATTAGGCTTGGCACATAGTGTCCGCATTGTCCTAGTGTCCACTGGGTGGTCCCCGAGCAGCATGTGGCTGTCATCACTGCTATCAGATGCCTCCTTTTCCCTTTTGCCTTCCTGGTAATGCCAAGAAACCCAACTTGTCCCTGGGCTGCATCTCTGGGGATGGACACCTGACCTGAAGTCACGTCTGCAGCTCCCTATTTGCAGCTCAAAGAAGTTGAGCTGGTAGCAGTTACCAAGTTGTTACCTTCAGGAAGAGCCACAAGAGGGAGATCTGACAATTAACAGATTTTAAGAACTGTGATTTCTGTATTTCAAGCAAGAATCTTTCTCTAAAGCCCTACCTGAGAATGGCACTAACTGCTGTGGGCTGTATCCAAGGCAGCTAATGTGCTTCAAACCACTGAATGACACTTCTCTATTATAGCCAAGCGAAGCATTTTTTACAAATGTCTGAACAAATGATGTATAAAATAAAAGGATAATTTGTTTTTATAGCTTTTTGCCAAGCTCTGCACCACACTGCCCAACCTGCAAACAATTTATTCTGTATGAAATGTCACTGAATAATGACAAGGACTTGCAGGTCAAACTGATTTACATTATATAATTTAAATGTCATTCTGAGCAGACCTGATGGCATTTTGAACAAATCATCTCATTTATTTTTGAAGCTCTGAGCTTTCAACAAGTTCACCACAGCTGAACTAATGGGAAAACTATGCCCTGCAATGTAATGTGTGAAGCTTTTTAATATACACTTAAAAACAGAGAAGTATGTAAATACTGAAGAATAACTCATTAAAAAGGAAATGTTTTCCAGGAATTATAGGTCTATGCTTCATTTGCATAAAAAGTGGTGGTAGTTCTGTATTTTATGTTGCTTAAAGCACTGCTGTGAGTTTCTTATAAGGAAGTTCTACTGGAATGGCAAACCCTGTAATCACAGGTTACAGCACTAGAAATAGAATGGCTGCTTCTACTGAACTCCTTGAAGTTGAAATCTGTAGCCAGTTTTGAAAGCTGACAAATCTCAGAATATTCCTTTACTCACATCTGGATGTGACAGGAATCTGATTTGGCTGTAGTCTGAGATTTGTTAGAAGCTTTTTCTGTGCTCCTAGTAACTGAAATGGCCCTCCAGTGTGGGACCAGAGCTGTGAACTACCCTGGATCAGTGGTAGAGCTAGAATACGTTAAAAGTAAGGTGGTAGGCAGGGGAGGGGGAAAAAAGACAAGAGCTAAATAAGATCATTATAACAAAAACTGTGCTCTAAGGTAGTCCAAAACTTTATGGTAATGATAAAAACCTGGTAAAACTTCTAGAAATGCTATGGTAGTTTTAGTAAGTAGAACTTATATTGGACAGAGGAATAGCTGACTATTTTTCAGTATATTTGAACAAACGAACACACATTTAGATCTAAGCAGAAAGAAGGGTTGTATTGGTATGGAGAGACTGCAATACAGATGAGTTATGCTTATTTCTGGGTTACATATGGCAAATAGCACTCAGTATGTAGAGCTGCAAATAATTAGTTCCTGACACCAATGGGCATAATGCAAACATGACAGATCGTTAACGACAGCAGAACTATCAAGTGTTAATACAGTAAAATATTTTTCTTACACATCAAAATTTAAGAAAATGAGTCCCACCTTGAGGAACATATCATAAATTTCTGTTGACTGCTATTTAATGCATAGATAATTAGTTTTTCTTTACACGAATAATACTTCTAAACACAATAAATCCTAAAGAGAAATTTTCACTCTGTAATTCTGTCATGACTTAAAATGAAAAGAGGACATGCATCAGTTGAGCATTCTCAGCACTACGAATATGAGAAAAATTATTCTCATTGGATCCAGTCAAATCCAGTTCATGGCTGGGAATAACTCCACATTCATATTTTATGTATAAATCTATATATAACTCCATATATTGTACACAGGAGACCTGAACTATCAGACATTTACCATCTCTTAATAAAACAGAAGGGCTAAATGGAACTGGCTGGTAAACATTAGTCATGAGAACATGTCAATATGGCTACAGAAATCCTAAATGATAGAAAAAACATGGCCTGCTTTCAAAATAAGTCAGTGAAAGTTTGCCATATATTTTGCTTGTAAATTATTCCTTCTGGCTGATGGACTAAAGAAATGCAACATTACTGATCATAAAAACATTGCTGAGGGTGGAATGGGCTTTTACTGCTAGTTGACTGTTTTCCCTTCAGCTCACTGTATGCAAAAAATGCTACACACTGCTCCAAGGAAATATCTCAAGCAGTGCAGGACCAAATGTAGGACATTCAGATATCCTTTCAGGGTATTTTCCCCAAGAAGGAAATGCTTTCCAAGTATTTTGCACACAGGAATATCTCTAGTCACAACTTGACCTTAGTGTTCAGTGGTGACCTTGTTTCACAGAACATGCCCTTTATGTTCACAGTCCTCTGGGGAGTGCCCTATGTGGCCCTTTTCTCAGTATCTTCTACATGCAGTGTCCAAATGATTTCCATGCAAAATACTGTCCCACGCTCTATGAGAGAGGCTTTGTGAAAAAGCATAACTGATGAGGTTGGACTGAAATTTTTAATTCATATTCCTGACACAAACTTTGCTCATATGCTGTGCCTTGGAAAGCTCAAGCTGGATTACAAATACTTTTCTTGCCCTGCAATTCTTTGTATCTAAGACTTTAAAAACTATGAAGTTGGAGAGGGCCATCTGACTAAGGAAGTGAGGAGGCAAATCCATTTAAATGTTAAGTTTTATTGATGCAAAGAGCTAGGCACAATTGTATCTAAGAAATGTGATGCCTCTGGACTGCCCATCCTTTCCCCAGGGAACTATGTGTACTTATGGGAGCAAGTGGAGTAAACTGGTTTCAGATGCATACAGCCTGCAATGTACTGAGCAGAGCAGGCTCTGAGCCTTTACACCTAACTGCTGTCCCCAGCCCTTAACATGCCAACCTCTAGCTAGCCCATTCCTCTTTAGCTATTCCCATGGGTCACTAGAGTTTACTGACCTGTGACAAATAGAAGAGAGCACTATAACTAAGAACATTAGACCTATATAAATAGCATTTAAATAGAGAGAAAAATCCTCTTACTTAATCCAGTTCATCAGCTCCACAGTGTCTGGGTCATAGAATTCTCTCAGCTCTGAGAGTTCATCCATTATTCCTGGCCAGAACTAAAACAAAAACAAACACACTGAAGGCAGAATGAACGAGGAAAGCTCTGCACGTTGGAGGGGATGTCTGTGTTTCTTCTCAGCTGGTGACCTGAGCTCAGCCTGGCTTATGCTAAGATGCAAGTCGTAAGCACATCTACTCTCCTTAGGAAGGACGTGTGACTGCCATTATAATACATATAGGCAATTTTGGAGCTTGGGAACTGCAGCTCCTGCCAGATGACCAAAAAGGAAGAGAATAAGCTGCTGAGAGCCTGAGAACAGCTCCTCTCAGACATGCATCTCGCTGCAGGGCCCCAGGATTCTTTTAGCTGGTAATTGGCATATACCTTAAACCTGATGGGAAATTACAAGTTGCTACTGAATATTGCTCCTGTCTGTTACATATACATTACAACAAGTTGTTTCAGTTCCCTGCCTGGAGAATAAAAAATAACTTGAAACATTTAAATTTATAGAGTGATCTTTAAGAGGAGAAACAAGAGAAACAAGCAACATGAAACAGCTCAAGATACAACAGTCAAGCCAGAAAATAACTATGATGGCACGAGAAAAGGTAGTAGAAATTACAGAGTAGTTAAATTTTAAAAACAACCTTTATAGAAGAAGCAGCAAAAGAGAGATGTAGCAAATGTCCCACTATTAGATGTGTTGTGGATGCTAGTAACGCATTCCAAAAGGTTGAGTTGAAAGATGACCACAAAGGCAAAAGACAAATCCCAAACAAACAAAACCCCCGCACCCCTGCACAGTAACATCCAATAGGATGTTGGGAAACAGATAATTCAAAATCCACCAAAGACAAAGAACATCAAAATCAAGAATGGATGAATCGGACTGTGACACTACTGCAGCTTTTGAATGAACAGAAACAACTGCCTTTCACTAGAGGGCAGCTTTGGCAGGGGGGATTTCTAAATTACATTTACAATGGTAATCCTGAGGTGCCATGTTTTCAGGTAACACTGATTTTAGTCAAATCTAGAGAAAACTGAGAAACCAAGATCCAAATACAATAGAGAAACAGTGACAAAATAAACACTGATTAATGCAAACTAAAGCATATGAACTAATGCAACAATGTAGAGTTGTAAATCACATATGTCAAATCATGAAGAGTAGAATCATGATACATATGCAAGGGAGAACAAAAACAGATGATGTATATCAGACTCCTTAAAGGGGGATATGACAAATTACACAGAATAATGAATGGCATGTAAAAGAGCTTTCAAAATTGTAATGTGCTAGTCTCTGGGGGCAGAGGCTTCAGGACTTCAGGAAAAGAAGGCTGTTGGCAGATGTCTTAAAATTAATAACAGGGATTTCTGTCATGACTGGAAAAATTTTAAGGCCTGGGCATTTTCTTTTGTTGTTTATTCTACATACTGTTGAATTTACAAACTTTAGGTTAAAAAAATACAAGTAAAAAGTACATGAAGAACTTGCGTACAGCCAAAAATACGACTGACTCAGATAATTAGCATGAGCTGAGCTATATGCTGCCCAAACTATATACCTGTGACTGGAACAAAAGTACTTGGCTACCATGAAGATAAGCTATCCATTCATGTAATTCCTCAAACTGCCTTTTTACTAGCAAAGAAATTTCAAAATTATTTGGCAGAAGAATGGAGTTGTTGCAGAAACTGATTTTAAGTGCCTAAATTTTTTTGAACAAATTTAGGAATGTCGGATTCATTTAAATACCATCTGATGGACATTATTCTGCTGAGTAGCTAAATGCAGCGGACATTGATGCTACCGAAATCTCATGTAAGGAGTAGGAAGTGCAGTGTAAACAATACTTAGTATTGCACATACATGTGTATGGATATGTGTTGCAATTTGTAACATAGGTAAAATATGTGTGGAAACACTCCAGAACTTTCACTTTACATGAGAGAGATTTTTGTACTGTTTTAATGAAGAAAATATATGTAAAGAGCAATAGGGTTATCTTGCAGGTCTCAAAGGCTGTACGTGTAACCAGAGAGCTAGCTAGCCTGTGGCTGCATCTCTGAGTAAATTGTTTTTCAAGTGACGTATTTGGGATTGTAACAACCACATGCCCCAAAAGAGGCTTTCGTTAGCTTATTCTGGATTAGGATAGAACTCCTATTTTGAGGAATGGCACTGAAGCCTATTTCCTATCACAAATATAACCCTAACAGGTAATAAAATACAAGTTCACTTTAATATTAATTCAAAAAATCTAGCCATGCTGGCCAGTTAAAATCCGTGTGCCAAATATGCAAGATATTCATGCAATCTGAACATCCACTGTGCATGAACACATGAAGCTTTATCTGGAAAACAGATAAGTCAGTCTCTGATATTAAAATCCATTTGAGTTGTCAGCTTGGGTATGAAGGTCTTGGAAGGAGAATACATAAACCTAGTCTCACTGAAGCAATCTGTACTTTATCTGAACTTAGTAATTAATAGTTCAAACGAGAACAGACATCTTACCTTTACAGCATGTCAATCACACCTGGTAACTCATGCAACTAAAAAAAAAACACTCCAGAAACAAGTACTGGGATCACATGAGCTTAAGTGACCCTCTAGGTACAATTTTGTATGCATAAATGCATATGCAATTTGGGCAGGTTATCATAATTCTTGAAATGCAGCTATAAATCTTGTATTTAATTGTACATAAGGCAATATCCCTTTAGCAGAAAAAGCAAAACTAAGAAATGCTAGAATACTGTCAGAAAAAAAAATCTTACCTTATATGAAATGTACAGTAACACAACTACTGGTAGAGAGTATCTAATCACAGATATCTAAGAGAAATCACAAAAAAATACATTGGTTAGTTCTGGTGGTAAATTTATTTGCATAAACAGGCATGCTTATCAGGCATGAATACATTAAAAATAAGTTTGTCACAGAGTGGAATTTTAAGACCCTATTCTACTCCTGTTTTAAATAAAACCCCATTTAGAAAAAGTAACATAATCTATAGAAAAAATGAACCTACCACAAACTGTTTATATCTGCATTATGAAATGAAAAACTACTGTATCATTCAGTATAAGAGTGTAAATTTCTCTCCAGGCTGCTGCTTTCTTAATATAGTGACTAATATGTTTTAGTAAAATCTTAGCTATTTTTCATAGCTACATCTGTATTGCCATCTAGTGTATTCAAATGGAATTGTTTAATATAAAAACATCACTAAATACTTACTAGTTTATACAAATACATTTTAAAAATATCTAGTCTAAAACATTATTCATTTGATACAAGGCTTGTTTTCTTGAGTCCTGACTGTTTGAGCTTTGGAGCAAAGAGATTTCATAAAATGCAGTAAGTAGTGCTAACCCTTCGTGATGTGTAGAGACGAACACATTTCAGGATAAGTCCCCATACTTCTGTACTGCACAGACCAAATGATGCAAATACACACATGTGGGATGTCCAGAGGTATTTCATTCTGGAAGAATACAGACAAGTTCTTGCTGATTATCCCAAGTTCTTCTAAACTGTGCTGATGAGATCAGTTATGTTAGGAAAAATTTTGAATGCAACTTTCTTGGACTTTGAAAGAATTGAGTAAAAGATCAACTTTGCCTTTTCCCATGAACTCCTGAGCACACCTCTGCTCCCAACACTTTGGGTTTGGATTTTTTGAAGTATCTCAGTGTAGAAGTACATTAGGAATAGCTAGAGAGAAGGAAGGTTCATGGCCACAGCAGATTATGGTAAGGATACTTTATACTCTTATTAAATTACTCACTTGTTTGCAAAAACTTTCAGTAAAATGATTAAAAAAATACCTCATTGTGCTTAATGCTAAACATCCAAAAAGGACTGTGTGAATCAAGTTGTAAGCAGTTTCAGGCTTTAGTGCTATTGTGCAGTCTTCCTTTCTTTCCAGGGATTTTTCAACTTTAGTTGAACCACTGATTAAATACAAAAAATAAAAAGTGTTATATTATGGCATATACTTCTCAAAGTAGTTATATGCATCTTAAAAAGTATTCTGTCCTTCTGATGCTAGAGAGAAATACTGCTGCTCTCAGGCTACAATCACTTATTCACCCAGTATTCTACGATATCATTAAGATAGCACTAACCTGAGACAGTATCACTCAAGAGTGGTTTTCTGGAAGTGCAATGGGTGTAAATGAGTTACTTTAAAAACAGACAAAAATGCTTACAGAAAGCCATGCTTGAACACCTTGGTTTATTGCTTAGAGCACCTAATCTCACAAGGTTTATTAGAGGGCTGTTGATGCAAGTGAAGAAATTAACTGTGTTTTGTGGGCTGTGCTGGTGTATCTCTGGATTTTACAAAGGACATGGAATGGAAGTTAACTTAAAAGAAATGCTGAAAGGATTGGGCACGCGGAGTTGGGCATGGCTTATCCTAGCTCACCTCTGAGCAGCTTGGGGATATCTCCCAAGGAGATTTTGATGTGAAGTGCATAGCACATGGGAAATAGGATGGAAAAGTAACTTAAAAAAAACAGACACAGTAAGCAAAAGAGTTTGGATAAATCTAGACAATAAAGTGATAAAAATCTGAAATTGTAAAACATACTGTACCTGAGGTTCTGAAAGGCAACAATTGCAGCTGTTACTGTCATAGGGAAGAGAACAAAAATGTAGACGTAAAAAAGTAAAGTATCCGAAAGTCTTGAAAAAGTATTTAATGGTAGTAAACCAAAAGCTTCTTCACAAAGATACAGGTTAGCATCAAAATCTCTAAAGAAAAAAGAACAATCCTTGTCACCGTGTATCTCATAACTTCATGCCAAAAAGGACCAAAGTTACTTTTCTTCCCAAGCAATAATGAAGCTGCAGATGTGATTATCAGGAGAAAAACATCTGACATCAACACAAGATTTGTTTGATTTATGATCAACCTCTTAAAGGAGTAATATTTAAGCGCAGACTTAAGTCATACAAAAAATTAAAATTGCAGCCTAATATATCATACCTTGTAGCCCCAAATCCAAATTTTGCTTTCAGGAATTTGAATATATGTTCATCTGACTCAAGATTTAGAATTTTCTAAGAAAGAAAAAAAATAATTTTTAGCTATGAAAAAGAAAACTTTACATAGTAAACTCTTTTTTAAAATCATTTTTAATGAAATTGAGAATCAACACAGGCTTACTGAAACATGGAGCTTTGCAACAAAAAGTACATCATAAGCATTCAGTTTGCAATCATGGTCCTGTGGGCAAGTTATTTGCCTTTTTTTTTTTTTTTTAAGAAAGCAAAATATTTAAGTAGACTGATCACATTGGTTTTAAGTACATCTGGGTTCAAAACTTATTACATCTTACAGTGATACCTCAATGCATACTTGTTTTTAGCCTGTTATATGTGCAATTTTTTGTAGAGACTGAAACTCTAAAGCAGAAGAAATGTTACTGTTGCTAATGTCACATGCAGATCGCTTTGCACAAGACGCAAATAAAACGAGGGGATATTCTACATCATTTTTATAACAAGTACTCATTTTCAGGAAGATTCATTGAAAAAGTAAATAGAACCAGATGAAAAAAATTGCAAACGCTCAGCAGTATTAAAATGTAGGACAGATCTATACTTCTATAAAACTGCAGATGAACTTCTATGCATATATATTTGATTACGTGGTGTTAATTTATGATAATATTCTTGAATATATGCTTTAAAAAAAGATTAACAAAGCCATCTTCAATTTCTAAAGCATATTCTTTCAAGTGGAGTGGAAACTCACTGCAGATTTTTGTTCAAAGACATTATTTTAGATGACCTTTTAACAAATAGCTTTTAACATAAGTAATTTGTGTATTTTTTTAACAATGAAATGATTTGCTTACCTTGATGAGTTTATTGACTAGAAGGGTCAAGCATGAAACGAACAGCACATGGAGAAGAAGTTTCCCAAGCCTGCTAAGCAAGCCTCCCTTTTTTAGATTTTTCTAGAAATATTAGCATTTATATATTAGCATTTTAACATATTTAACATACTTAGGATTGTACATATTTGGAACAAAGATGACAAAAGAGACTATATGAAATTACTTTTTGGTCTAATCAGGATCAAATTTCTGTTAGACTAATGTAAGCAAAAAAAAAAAAGTAAAAAATAATTATTCTCAAAAACTGAAAGAACATAAAGTCATAAACCCTGTCCAGCTTTACTCATCCAGATGAGTCTTATGAGCAGCCAAATGGTATCTTTCAGAGATGGCTCCATTATGCTCACAGAACTGTTGAAACCCAGTGAGACAACAGTGGTTGTGATACAGGAATCCCCCAATTTCAACACCTTTTTGTGTCTTTCCATCTATCTCTTTGATAATCTCCCACCTAACTACGGCAAGGGCATGTTCTGATTCTAGGTGTCAAGTGATACTGTTTTGAGCAATTTTCCAGTTCAGAGCTCCAGAATTGTCTTTTGTTTGCAGACAATTTGGGATGTGTGCAGCCCCTGTCCAGCTATAAAAAACAGTCCTGATTTTTGAGGAAGATACAGAAAAACTGAGAGAGCTGCAGCACAAATGGCTCTGTATATTTACATATTCTGGTTGGAAGCTGTAAACAAAGACCAGTATCAGAAAAAGAGAACAGTAAATGAAGGAAGAAATCCTGACCTTTGAGGGATACAATACATTTCAGTAAAATGAATTTAACAACTGCCTCCTTCACACAGAGTGCTTTGTTGGAGGCTGTAAGACCAAGACAAGCCCTGCTGCAACAAAGACCTTTGTTCTTTTTATAAGCAGCAAACTGCAGCTTACACAATCATAAATGTTAATAATGATCACTGAATTATGGAGTGTGATGTACTCAGTTATGCTGCAGTTAGTGTAATTTAATTCATTATTATTTGAGCATGCAATGTTTTTATTTCTTTACAGTAACTCCTTTAATTAGTATTAGTAATTTAAGATTATCAGGCAAGGGGAGAGATTTTTGAAAATAACTTTCCTCTCCCTCGCTGTTTCCTTACTGTTTCAAAAATGTTTCAGTACATACCTGAATTGTCCTTGCTATCAAGACAGAAGCATTAAAACTGATAAGTAATGATCCAAGAATCATGGAATTAAAGAACTGCAGGACACAGACTAGCAGTAATCCAGAAACTTGAATGATATAGAGCCATGTAACCTGTAAAAATAACGATATTTCATGCCTACAAAACTTTACAGTCTTAGCTATTTTTCCTCAAATATTTTAAAACATATTTCAAGCGTATATTTACAAAAACACACTGTCTTGCACTAAATCATCAGGTTCATAGCCATTACCATATCCTTTGTCTGTTTATGTCCAGAGCTGTTAGTTTAGTGTTTTAGATATTTGCTATGGAAACTCTGGCAGTTTTAAGTGATACTTTTTTGAAAATTAATAGAGAGCAGTAGTGTTGTGGTAAGACAGTTTTAGAACAATTTAAGATGAAATGGGTAATGGGCCAAACGTCAAGATTTGTCACCTTAACTGCTAACTTCAGCTTATGTTTTTACATGTAATGAGGAGTTTAGAAACTACTAAATAAGCTGCACATTTTGAAATGCAACTACCACACTTTCAGTTAAACACAATCACTAACATGAGTCAGCTTCAAATTTACAATGAAATGAGCTACTCTTCATTCTGCTGTAACTTTCCATAAAGTTAAAGCAAGAACCTTTTTCACATAGTGTAGCATTTAAATGGGCTGAGATAATTTCAAAAGAATTTCATTGGCACTGAATTTGAAGACTATGTTTTCATCTACAACATATTGCTATTTCTTGGGATTGACAGTAAAGGCTTGCTTATCCTCCTAGTAACACTTGTTTTACTTTTTGGCTCATTCAGAACAGCCATGAACATGAGTGGTAATGTTGCTATTTTATGGTGAATTTCAATGTAGAAAAGATGCTACTTTTCTTGAGCCATCTGGTCTATTCTATTTCTTCTTTTAGGGTACAGTGCCTATGCAAGGATGCAAGATAGGACAAAAGTTACACATTGCTATGGAATTGCCTAAGAAAAACATTTTTTGCACCGTCAATTCTTTCTGGCAAATCTAGAGTTGATGCTCAAGGTGGTGGTTCAAGCAAATTATCAGATCTAGTATTACAATGGTGGTTAAAAGAGATTCTTTAGTAGTGTCAAAACAGTTGGGTCTAAATATCTTGCTATTTGATTTCAATAGCATATAAAAATTGGAATAAAATTAGACAATGAAGTGAATTAGAGTGAAATATAATCAGCTGAAAAAACAGAAAGGGTATACCTTGTGTTTATTCATTTCTACACTTACAGTAAATATAGTGTGATTACTTAAAAGCATATCAGAGAAGCACAGAATATTTTCTGCTTTTGACATACATATCACTGAAGAATGTAATACTTCTAAAATTGTTAGTTCTACGACTAAAAAGTAAAAGTTCAGTCATTTCTAACCATGGTCTTACCTTTGCTGTGGGAAGCATGTCCAAGCAGTCCAGTATGAATAATACCAATGCCTGAATCAGCATCATAAACTGATTAAATTGCCAGGTCAGGCTAAAGAAGAAGGTTGCTATGAATACAGCCAGAAGTGTCCATCTCTGGGAGAGGGAGGAAAGAACTTTTATTTAACTTCAGTTCCTCCCAATAAAGAAACTCCTTTTTAGAAAGGTAATCTGGCTTTATTTCTGAATACATTAAAAAAAATCTAATGAAAGTAGCTGCTTTTAAGATATATATATATATAGAGAGAGAGAGAGAGAGAATTCCACAATCTTGTATTTATAACTGTTTTACTGTTTTAATACCACCTGTAAGAAAATGGTGAGTCCTCAGCTCGATAGATTAACATGCAGTATTTATGTTATAAATATTAGTTCACCTGCACAAATCGAGGAGTAATGACTTAGAACTGTTATTCAGAGAAACTGTATTATGAGTCTGCTTTTATTCCTGCGGATGATGAGAACTATTAATACAAATGAAATCAAAAGATTTAACGCTCGAGCTTTACAAGCTTTTTTCCTACCCACTCTTTGTTAGCCTGTTATGTTTTCTCAAATACACAGCACTGCCTTCTTGTACTCTTTAGAGATTTCCATTAAAGTTAAAAGTATCCCTTTAATTTTCTTTCAAAACTGGGCATATGTATTTCCTCATATTTCAACTATATCTAAATTAATAGAAGGTTTGCCTGATTAATGTTTTCATTTTTACAAGTGATATCTATCTCTATCCGCTGCTATAAATTTTGTCCTTAATTTTATAGACCATTATCTGGCACTTCATGTTTCAACCACAGACCTGATGTTTCTGGTACTAGTTTTACTGTCACACTTAGAAATACTCACTTCGTGAGCAGGCTGTAAATGAGTTCTGAGCAGGTATGTGATGGCTGCTATTTGAACTGCAAAGAACGGCAGTGCCCAGTTCTCTCTTAAAGGAATGGTGAATTCTACTCTTGTCGTATCTACTCTGTTCAAAAGAAACAGTTTAATCAATATAAAGCAATCCAATCTGGTGATAGAGAGGTGGCATGAAAGGCATGTTTTTATATTATATATTATTATATATATATAGTATTTTAGCTATCATTGTCTTATCCTAGCAATAAATTTGCAGGCTCTGCAGTCTATTCCCTTCAACATGTCTGACTGAAAAAACATCTACATGAAAGTTCTGCATATCCTCCATTCTTTACCTCAAGTCTTGTACTTCAATTTACTGTTAAAAGTTGCATGCTATGGATTAAACCTTGCTCACAAAGCAGAGCTTCGGTGATTTAAAAACAAAATCCAAAACAAAAACACCCCAAAATCCAGCATGTGGAGTTTTCAGGTAACCAGTCATCTTACTCCATTTTTGTTTGTGTAAAGCACATATAATAATAGTTATCATTTTCTTCCCTCTGATCCCAGTGCATTGGATATGAGTACCAGGGAACCGATCAGAAATTTTTGATCATTTTTGGAATGTTCTAACATGAAAAATCTGACAGAAGTTCCTCAGAGGGCAGTCATCTACAAAATGTTAATTAAAAGTAATAAAAAATATCCTTTTTTCTTTTGTAGAGAAAATATTTGCTAAAAATGAAAATAAGCAGTACATCTGGGACATTTTTAGCTACAGGAAGAAAAAATATTTCTACAATGGAGCTACTCCATGGCCTCAGGTATATTTCATTTGGACAGAAAGTCTTTGTCCAAATCAATTCCATGTATTTCTTCTATTTTGGAAAAAAGGTAGCAAGCTTCCATTGTCTATGAATTGCTAGAAAGCTGGACTAAACAAACCTCTTCCAAATCTTTTATGAGTGGAAAAGATGACCTCATGAAATGAGGAGTGACTGCTTTGCATGTATTTTTAAACTACTTCCATCTTAGGAGAAAGAACACTAGCTTCACCACTACATACCTATAATCATGTATTTTTCAAGCTCGCAGATTAACTTCTTTTGATTTGCTGATTAACATATCAAATAGTTTTGATAGAACTGACACTGTACTTTCACTTCCTTGGTTAAGTTACAAGTAACAGCCTATGTTACCAGTCTTAGCCTCATTCCAGCTGCTTTGTGCCGGCCTAAAGCCAGTTCCTTAGTGTCTCTCTCTGAACTGAGATATCTTCAAGTGATGAAGCAGCAGAGCAGTTCAATCGCCAACTTTTTTTTTCTGACTCTTAGTGCAGAAGATGTCTACAGGAATAATGGAATGGAGAAGCTGAACTTCTGGTGATCATAGGTTGCTGAAACAATCTCTGGTGGTTGGGTGTGGGGTGGTGAGGAGAGGCATGAAGGGCCTGTAAGAGGATGTCTGTAACATCTAAGAGCTCCTAGGCTGGAAAAGATGGGATACATCATCTGAGGATCTAGACAAGTCCAAAAGATATTTCCAGACAGTGATTTGACTTTGTACTCAAACACCTTGAAAATTTAAAATCCAAGCCTGCAATTTCAGCTCATTTCTAATTTTATTATCTAACTTGCTGTTATATAAACATCATACTGTTTTCTGACTAATTTGGAGAAATGCCTTGTAGGTTCTTTTTTTTTTCCTCCTCTGATTAATCATGCATTTGAAGATTTAATGCCTTACCTTTGACATAAGTTAAAATTTAAAAAGATTGAATGTTAAATCTGACTTACCTGTTTGTAATATACCAGAAAGCTGCCAACAACCCTGAAAGCCATGTTCCACTAAGAAGCCAGCTTGTTACATATAGAGCAATGACATAAACTGCCTGAAGTCCAAACAAAGTGTAGATATAAAAATAAACAGGCTCTAAGTATTGCTGTAAAACAGAAGGATATTAATGTTGACATAAAACACTTGGGAAAAAGAAAAGTTTTTCATATGAATTAGCTTTGCCTTTACAAATTAAAGGGTATCAGGAATACTTCTAATTAGAATATAACTGAAAAGGGGAGCTATGATTCACTGGGGAATCTTCATAATGCACTTACAGTCTGAAGCCATAAATAAATGCCTACCTGAATTGGAAGAATCCTATACAGAATGCTGAGAAACACCTCCTGGTAAACATTCATTCTTTCAAGTATGTTAATTGTCCTCACAGATTCAGTTTTATTGTCATATACTAAACCATGTAAACCTTAATGATAAAGAGAAATTGAAACAGGAGAAAGTCATTTTTCCCCCTCCACCTTCCATTGAACAGTGAAAAATTTTTCAAATGTATTTTAGAATCTTTCACCTCAAACTTTGGCAATGGTAAGGATTCAAATCACACTACCATGACCTCAGAAGGTCATATTTCCTTGCTTACAATGTGCTAATTCAAATATTGTGTTTTTAATAACGTAGGAAATGTTTATTATACTTATATTTCTACTACATTTATGGTAGATTCTGGATCTTGATCAATGGACTGTCAATATCTTTAATGATACAAAGAACCCATCTTGTCACTATTTTGAACGTAGGTCAGGTCACTATTTTGAACTACGCCAAGTGTGTAGTATAACCAAAGTTACTAGGGAGCTTGCTTAGGTAGCTAGAAAACAAGAAAACACCACAAACATGATTTGCTTGGAAGCAGCTTGTTGTGTCACTGACTTAACAGGCACAAAGCAAAAATTGTCCCTTTCTATAAATGGCTTATAATATATGTAAAGAAAAATTACCAAAAACATGTACAAAAAAAGAGTATTGCATATAATTTACTGAATGGCTGAAACTTAGCAGATACGGACGCTCTTCCTCCAAGTGATTGTACAATTTGGAAGTGAAGGTGCGGCACAGAAACCAGTGTATCACTGTGATTTTGCTGTGTCCATAATTTGGTGGCTCTTTAGAATAAGGACGGATCTGTCTCTAGAACAATGGTTACACCATCTTTCAGACTTATGCCCTTCCTTGTCCTCCACTGTATTTGGAAAAATACTCAAGACAGGCAGCTGGCATTGCAAAGTAAAACTTACTTTACAGATTACAATACCTTGCTGGATGGATGCAGCCTGGACCATCTGTTTGTAGTAGGAATAATATAGTCCACATTCTGTTCTGAATGAAATTTCTCTCTCTACTTCCTGCAAGTTCAACAAAAATTTCACTTTGTTAGTATTTCACTAATATGTGAGTTTGCCTTTCTTGCTCTGTTAAGTCACTTTGCCAGATATGGTACTTCTGCATTATGAAGTTTATTTTAAATTCCAGTATAAATCAAAACTGGAACCTTGGAAATTCTGACTCTTCTAAGGAATTCACCTGTAAAGTGGCTTGATTATTTGCGTTCATGTGTTCTACGCAACTCATCCAAACAATGGTAAAAATACACGGACAAATTAGAGTGAGGCAAATGGCTGAGGTATTAATACCTCTGTTAACTGTGGGAATACATCTGACTTGTGATTCTGATGTGTAATTATGAAATATTTTGGGTTTTTACTTTTTTTGGTCATATCAGATGTTTAGATAGGCGCAATGGCCAACAGCTGGATTTTAAAACTACAAGCACTTAAATTTTTCTTCCAGATGTATCCACCCAGTAGTCTTCCATGTCTTTACCACCTTAAGACTTGATTAATGCTGTGTGCTATATTTGGGACTACATCACTGTAAAATTCTGAGACTTTAACTGGCTGGGTATGCAGCTGCCCACTTGTTAGATGTTGTTGCTTGCAGGAAGACAGCTATTATGTTATGATTGTTAACCATAACAGGTTAATGGAAAATTGATTTTTTTTTATGCATATATTTTTCTTAATCTAGAAATGTTTAAATTATTTAAGTACATTTCAAACTCTGCCTCCCCCTTTGCCTGATATTGCAGCAGGTGAGGGCTATTGAGACATAAAAACTCTTAATGTCCTCGAGAAAACTGCTTTCAGTACAGGATCTCTGCTTTCCAATTCACTTGTTTTCAGTAGCTCATTAGATAAGAAGAATTAATGAAATTTAACAAATTGAGACTTGGATAACCACACTTACACAAACTTAGACTGCATAAACAGCCAATTTGAAAAGAAATAATACAGCATCTTATCCAAAATTATTTTATTATTAGAGAGTTTTTTTAAAGTTTCAGTTTATATAAAAACACCCCAGCAAACATATTTGCTAAGCAGTAAATTAGAAAAGGTTTAATCTCTATTGGAAAATCTAGCAAGATTCCCATATGTGGTGTAAAGAAGTAAGACATTAAGAAATCTAAATGAGATTTCTAAAGATAATCTTATTAATTCATCCTTCTTTGCAAAAGAACATGACTGAACTAGTGGAATTATACTGTTTTCCCAGATTTTTATGAATGCTGTTCTGCATAATGCAGCCTTGCCTAAAATCCAAAGACTTTCATTTTTTTATACAGTCTCATTGATTATCTCATCTCTTACGTTGGAACGGAATCAATGCTATTTCAGAGCTAACATAAAGCTAGACAAAAAATCCTGCCCCTCCTTCCTCTACTGCCCACCACAGAATCTTATCTGAAGACATGTGTTTTATTGAAGTCAATTGTTGACAAAGCAAACCAATATAAGCTCTGGTGTGAGGAAAATCAACAGATAAAAATGCATCCGATTAAAAGTAAGTCCACAATTAAACTCTCCAGCTGCTTTACAGTCCAAAGCATTTTAATACCAGCAGAAGAAACTGACATTGGCACCAAGTACTAAAAGCCTCATACTTAGCAGAATGAGAATGCTAGATGGTGAGCGAGCTCTAGTTTCAAATTCATCACTACTGAAAAGTTTTCTAATAATACCAGAAAGCGGCTGCTATCAAACAGAAGAAATGTTAACATTTGGAATTTATTAAGGGGGAGAGAGTAATCTCAGAGGGGGATCTAATTAGCAAAAATGCATTCAAACATGATTAATTTGTTATCCTGGCACCAGCTGTATTCAACCAAATGCTATACTTTACGAGACAAACACTAGTGAGTTTTACATCTGTTTCATGCTAAGATAACATCTGCTTTATTCACTCACAATACTTTTCCAGTTCTATAGCAATTTATACTTTTCCTAGTGTTCCATGACAATAAAAACATGTAGAGTTATGGGTAGGCATTATAAGAGCACATGTTGATCTTACTGTGTATTCAATTTGTGAGTATTTAACAAAGAAGCTACCAGTGGTCCAAGGACAAGGCGAGGGAACGGGAAAGAGGGGAGGAGAGAGAATAACCTCTGGGATACAGAGTTGCGTCTGATTTCAATTTATGGAACTATATTCCAATAATATTAAGTATTCGAAATAACATACAAAGTTGACATTCCCTCTTTCTCTCAAAGGCAAAGCAATATTTTAAAACTTAAGTTTCTTCAAACTTCTTAACTAAGTCTTTCAAAACATTATGGAAGCAGACAAAGTCTGAGTCGAGAATTTCTACAGATAAAGAGCATAATCAAAGCTCTCATTCCATTGAGTATTCTCACTGAGGCTTCTCCTTTTGAAAAAGCTAAAGCACAACTTGTATCACTCAGATTTTTTTTTAGTATTATTTTAGCTGTTCATTTTAATCCAGATCAGAAAGATTTTCCAAATAATATAGAGGAGGGAATGCACCAAAGCCAGCTGCTATCAATGCAACAGGCTGCCAATCATGCCCTCTGCAAACGTACTGAATCCACAGCCATGGTCTCCTTGGCTGGTTAACCTCATGGCCATCTGTTAGAATGGCATGGTTCCTCCTCAGATCATGATCAGACTTATGTTTTGATGCATACAAGAAGAGATTAAAACATTTTTTTTCTTCAAACCTGTTTGACTGGTAGGTGACTGTAACCTCCTATGACTTCCACTGCAATTTTTTTGCAAATGCAATTTTTATGTGATCTGCTATTCTGCACTCTGACTTCTCTTGCAGTTCTTCAAGGAATATTTGGAATCAGGAGAATACTGAGCATGTACCACCTCTTCCACAGCATAGATGCTATGGAGACCTGCTTCAGAGACCTGTTTTTTTCAATTTTGTGATAAGGAAATGATCTTACTATCCTTCTCCAATTTTTGTGGTAAATGTATAATACTAGGCATATTTACTTGCAAATAAGAACAATATTTGCACATGCCAAAGTTGCTGACATAACTACCTTACTGAAAGCAGTATTCAAAATAATATTTAGTGTGACAGTCACAGCATCAAATTCTTCTGGTTGTGTATATCATTGCTGGAGGACACCTGAAACCGAACTAGCTTTCCAGTGACTTTAATGAACTCACAGAAAAGCCCTCGCTACAAGTGTATTCACAAGTTGTGACTATAGTTACCTTAAAGTTAAGAATCATACATTCAGACAATTAATTCTTTTTGCTTTCAGATTTTAGGGCTGAATACATGTTTCATTGAAGTGACAAGTTTCATAAAATACAGAGATTCTGACGGCTATATAACAATGGAGCTTTCTAAATCTGCTTGTTTTAAATACTTCTGAATAAGCTGTCTCTAATTTACCCCTTGTAACCTACGTTATGAGAGATAAAACTAAAGGAAAACTACTGCAAAGAAGTTAAGCATCATGTATATATGACTTTTTTAGCCAAGTTTGAACTTATTTTCACAGGATGACTGGCCTTTTAAAGGACTAAGCAGCTCTTACTCTCTAGTCGCAAAGCAGCAGCTGTAGAAGGGTAGTTTTCTCCCACAATTACTCTAGAACAGGAAAGGTTAACTGGGCGGAAGCTCCCGCACGGAGCATTCCAGAAGGTGGTAAAGGAGCGGCACCTCTACACGGTGTTGGGAACAAGTCTATTTGCATCTATTTTGGGGAATGCAGAGAAACATTATTAATTGATGAGTGATGATGAATAAGCAAGTAGAGAGACAAATGCTGGCGGTTTTATAAACAAGGACAACTGCAATTGTTAGAAGGCAACTAAGACTGAATACAGCTAAAACTTTCCCCTACACTTTTTATCCTATTTTACTGCATATTTTTATATATGCTTGGTGCTCCCTTAATATCTGTACTATCTGTGAATACACCTTTGTCTTTAGAATCTTTCATTACATTAAAGATAATTTGTTAGAAAACCACTATATGTATGCTGATCAATTGTAGCTCATTGGATGGCAGGAAAAAATGTTCACAGAGATAAGATGTCACAATACAATTCTTATAGAGTTCAGTAATATAAACCCCCCAAACCTGCACTATTAATGGCCACTTTGGAGTAGCTGAAATTACTAATCTGAAATGTACAGAAATATGACTAATGTAGATTTTACTAGAATTTACTCTCCTCTAATTCACAGCAATGGTGATTCATTACTGTTTCACAGGTATAGGGATTAATGCAACACTCAATGTGTGTTAGTGTTGCTTCTGTTACCTCTACGCTTAATAAATTAAAACAAAATAACCTCTGCATTTTATTAACCAAGGCACACAATAATTGTGTGTCAAGGATTAGATTACAGTTCCCTTCTGGGAAGTGGTGTTGGGCTTTGCCAGGAAATAAATCTTATTACTTCTTGATTTTTAACAGATTAAGTTAAAATATGCAGAAAAATATGTATTGGCCAAACAACAAAATGTTGAAGAAAAAAACCCAGAAAATTTCCATTTATTTTCAAGATAATTCAGTGTTCCAAAATTGTTACACAGGAGATTTTACTGTTGTCTTCTGTTAGTATATAGTATGTATTGCAAATAGACTAGGCAATTTAGAATTGCTGAAAAACATATGCATATCTACAGATCCTAGTCCACTGATGCATTTAGGCACACAGACATCCATACACTGTTTTACAGATCTTAGGATGAGCTCTCCCATCTCAGTTTAACAGCAAATTTCACAAGCTCTTCATCTGTCATCCCTTCTCTTCCCATAACCCTCATAAAACAGTACTTGGTTTATCTCATCCACATATATTGTAATGTGTTTCTTCTCTGTTTAGTTAAGAGAAATCATATCAAAATACAATCTAGACTTGTTAACTTGCTACTCTCACTTCTGGCCATTAAATGCTATGATGAAGATACTGGCAAGGTAATGAGTTTGGGCCATACTTTAATCAACACTAAAACTTTTGAAAACCTTGTTAACTAAGCAAAAGCAGAGTCAGTTTTTGAATTCACAGGCAATTGCAGTAAATGCTTTAAGAAACTTGAGTCATTCCCAAACTACTTTTATTTGCAAATAAACTGTAGGGGATACAGTCTGTCTGTTCTTAAACTACATTAAATAATTTGAGAACAAACTTTTATGAGTGCTTTCAAATCTTCCTTGTAAAGTATGTGTTTACGAGTAACCACTTCTTATAAACCTAGACAAATTCAAAAATAAACTGCATATGTCTGACCATGCAAGAGTTATGTAAGTTGAGAGAGTGCACATGCAAAACACCCGAATAGGATACGCACACTGGACATATAGTTCTGAATGCAGGAGGATGTACAAATTCTGGTCACTTTTGGCTCTGCCTTAGAATTGGTTAATTTATCTTTAAAAATATGCTAACTCTAACTGAAGTTTCTCCTGTTGTTATCATTTTAAAATTAATACTGCAGTCACATTGATTTTCCAGCACAGTAAGCACCTCTTATGTCACATTATAGCCTTTTTCACTGAGAGTGTCTTCATTTCTTTCTTCTTTACACTGTTTGTAGATGAACTTAATAATTTTGAGACTTTTATGCTTCCATCACATTGGCTGAAATTGTGCAACAGGTTCCAATATTACTGAATTACACCAATTACTCCAATTACACCAATTTTTAGGATGAAATGACAAATACAGAGCAAGCAGAAACCAGTTTAGAAGTGTCTGGATATACATATTTTTGATTCTCCATTTTGGAGAAGACAAAACGGGCAATATGAAATGGGCAATAGAGTATACTTGCAATAAACAAAATATTTTTCAAACAAAATGGGAATTTAAAATGTTCTAGGCAACTACAGACCTATTTATATTGGTGCACTCTCTGTGACTGTATGAAGTGAAGAAGAGAATATACTCTGTTATGTTCAGATGTAAACTTCTGGCCACATACACTGGTATTTCAAAAAATAAAATTCTTGTGGAATTAGTCAATACAGGCTTTAGAAAGGAGAAGGCAAATCTGAGGGGCACCTTCAGTATATATCTATACTGAATATCCATACTTTCCCATATATTCAAAGAAAGATGAGCCTGGCTACAGAAATTATTATATGTGTAATATAGTATTAATTGTTTCACTAAGTGCCAATTATTTTTATTATCACTGTGCAAATGTTTCTGGGGTATGAAAACACGTAGTGGAAGAAAGAAGCAGACTACGATATAAGCATTCCAGTTAAACATACATAACTTTAGGATAATGTAATGCATGTAGACCTGCCACAGAGTGAATTTAGGCTTCTTCAAAAGGAAAATGACTCACCTATTTCTTTTCCCTGGTTAAATTTAGATGTATGTACAATTGCATTATTCTTCCATGCAATGATTCTGGAAAAAAATCTAGTCAGTCCTGGATCCTGTGAATTAAAGTTCTCCTACATTACGGATGTAGGTGCCTAAAAAGTATTAAAGTGCCTAAAAAATGTTTGGAGGTTTGCAGATTTCGGGTAGTATTATATAAAATTAGTATTGAATACTGAGAGATTGTGCTTAAACTGCATTAGAAGATCGCATTATAAATACAATTACAGAACTGTATGTCAGGAATTTCCATATATTTTAATCTGCCTTTTTTTTTTTTTTTGCTTGTTCTATGACTGCTTTGGATACAAGAAAGAACAACATAAATAGACTCTTGCAACCCCAGGCGATGACCAATGAGTGGAAGAATTTGAGTAGCTATTTCTCAGGCAGGAGAATAATGGCAGAGTTGTATGGCAATGGGTGTAGGACACGGTTGGGGAAAAGTCATTTATGGAAATGACTGAGCATGTGAAAAGTGGTAGTGCAGCAAAGAACAGCTCCTGATTTCAGAAACCAAGAAAGAAAAATGAAGAATATTCTATGTTTTTGAACAAGTAACAAGAGGCAGAGAGGTAAATCAATGAAATTTAAACTAATACTCGTATCAATATTCTATGAAAGCACTGATGAAACTATGGAAATAACTGTTACCTTAATATTGGAAAACCAGAGGTCATTTTCATGCAGTGTAGCTATATAAACAGAAGTAAGAAGTCCAAGACAGACTGCAACAATCCCACCAACTGTTAATGAAAGTATGTTCCACAGCTTTCCACCTGTATGATCTTCAAAGAAAAAAAAATGTTACTGTGTTACTAAATTGATTTTTTTTTTACTTATTTAAATTCTTGGATTATAAAATAGACATCATCATGCAACAGCCTAGTGTTTCATTCTGCTCGCTGTCTCGTCTGGTTGGTAATATACAGCACTTGGTAAAATGCAGTACCACGGTATGACCGTGTATTTGGTACAGGCCAGGATGGACACCCAAACCAACGGCAAGTAAAACCCCACAACGTGACAACCCTTTCGTTACGCACCCGCCTGGATTTCTCCACGAGGCTTCGCGTCCTTCTCCGGTGCGAGCTGCTCGTCAGCGGCGTCTGCGAGCCTGACCCCCTTCCTCTGCCTGGGGGCTGCCATGGTGTCAGTCACCGCCATCCGTCACCCTTCCCTCGCCTCCTGAGGGGACACATACAGGGCACGCGTCCATCTCATACTGCATGAAACTGCTGAAAACAGCCGCGCTTTAGCGCGATTAAAGACTTCATACTTTACAACTATAATTTAGCTGAAGATCATCTCAGTCAAACACAAGATTATTTATCTTTATAACTCAGGCTTCAGATGAAAGCAACGGAAACACTAAACCCATGAGGACTCCAAGTTCATGCTTAGTTTTAAGCTTAGTTTTAACCCACGCCAGGGTTTCGGAATGCTCCTAACCCTGACTGTCCTTGCTTTTGGGTCCCGCCAGGCTCTTTTTCTTTGCAAACATGGAGCATCAACCCTACAGAGAAAAACTGGCCTTTGGGGGCGGTTTCAGTTTGATACTGAAAACAGAGACATTTGTTTTTAAACCTTGGCTTTCAGGAAACCTCAAAATGGAGGGTTGCAAAAGAAAGATGCAAAAACGTTGTCAGAGAACAGGTGTAGGGTGAACAAGCCAGATGAAGCCAAACGGTGCTCGATAACTCCCAGCCTTCTGTGATGCTGAAGCACCACGAAACCTCGAGCAAAAGGCGGGGAGGAGCGAGGCGCAGCCGGGCAGTCCCCGGCCGATTCACAGCTGTGAACACGGTTCGTAAGACCAAGGCTGTGAATTAGCCCTCCCGCGTTAGGAGGCTGCGTGTATATGGATGTGTATATATACAGGGGAAGCGCCACGCTCCCGCAATGGGCTCCGCGCGCGGCGGGAGGGCGCTGCCCCGCGCACCT